GACCGTCCTCTCAATCAATGTTTCTTTAGACAGAGCTTGCCGCGATGCCACTGCTGGGCATGGCTCTGGCAAGGCTCTGGGCAAGGGTCTAGGCATGGCTCCAACGGGCTGGCAGCGAGGCGCGCGGCTCGGCGCCGCTTGATAGGCTTGGCCGTGTCACCGTGTCGCCGTGTCGCTCTGGTTTGGGCCGGGCGGGGCGCGCGTCGACGTGGCCAGGACGTGGCGGCGTGGAATAATATCCCTCGGACTGCATTAGGCAGACTGGTGTGTGTGTGTGAGGCCAGCAGGCTGAACAGTGCTTTCGGCACTCCGTCTCTCTCGCACTCGCGGGGCGTTCTGTGAGGCGTGAGAGAGGGAGAGCGCGCCGTTTCGGAACCAGCCTTCCAGCCGACTGGTTTGCTGTCACTGCAGCGGCAGGGCCGAAACGAAATGGTGCGGGGTGGGGCAGTCCAGTGCAGCCTACCGTCCAATCCTCCGACGTCCAGTCCATTCAAAGCGACCGCTGTCTCTGCTCGACGTCCTCCACGTCGCCGCCGTGCGGGAACTGGAGGAAAGGCATCCCGGGTCTTCGGGTGCCTATGGCGAACGAGGCAATTTGAGTCCTCAGCGCTCCTCCGGTTCGACCCAGTAGTTCAGGAGTGGGGCGTTCTGCGTGCACCTCCACTCGGCACTTATTTGTCCATCACCGGCGCAGAGTGTCGCCGCGGGCGCTGGCACGGCGCTGCCACCGCGCTGCCACCGCCGGGGCGGCCGGGGCGGCGGGGGCCTCCAGACGGCGGGGCGCGGCGCGCGAACAGGTGAGGCCTGCGGGGGCCGTACGGGTAACTTTCCACGAATGCTGGAGTGGGACCGTCCGGGCCGGGCCTAGCGCAGTGCCACGGCATTGCTGCGGGTCGGACGCCGCACTGGCCCGCTTGCTTCGCCTACGCGCCGCTGCCACCTCCCAACCGGAAGTAAGATGCACTGACCCGGCGACTGGACTGGACGGGGCTCGGCGGCCCGCCGTGTTTTTCCAGTGCGGTCACCGTCTCCCCGTCGGCGCGCGCCGCCCTGCCCAGGCCGCTGCCTGCGGTTGGGGAACTTGAACGCGCGGGGCAGACAGGGCAGACAGGGCAGACACTGCAGACCGCACCTACGCACCCGTCGCACTAAAAACAAAACCGCGGCGAGGACGGGCGCGTCGAAGGCTGCTGATTCAATGGCCCCCTTCTCTCCCTCTCCCCAGTCAGAATCTAATCCAGCCATCATTAAAGGGAGCGTTACGACCGGGTCGCCATCTCCACTGTCGACCCGCCGGGATTATGTTGTCTCGGGCACCGCGGGCACGGTGTCCGAGGAGGAGGGGAAGAGGGGAGGAGGAGGGGAGGGCTGGGCAGGGAGAGCTCCCGGCCGGCCGCTGTTAGCTCAGGTCGCGGCTCGCCATGTCGATCGTTTTCGGCTGGACCTGGGTCAAGTTACTCCCGCCTTACACACACAAGGCTCGTAAAGAAAAAGAGCAAAACTAATGATCGGACGGCGGGGATCGAACCCGGGGCCGGGGCTTTTCAATCAAGCCGGTATGGCACCGCTGGCCGCCGACTCGTTGATTCATCGACAGCTGGGGGTGTAAATAGTAGATATGGGTCGCACTGCACGCGTCAGCCGGCAGGCCACGGCACGCCAAAGGCAGCCAATGGCGGGCCGGGCCAGGCTCGGCTATGGATCGATTTACGGTGGCAGCCCTGCCGAGCCCTGGCCGTGATGGAGCACGCACGTGTAGGCACGGCCGTGTTCGTTCGTTTGTGTCATCCGGAGGAGAAGAGGAGAAAAAAAAGGCGATACGTTTGCGCGTCTGTCTGTCTGTCAGTCCGTCCGTCTGTCCGGCTGAGCGCGATTTCACCACTCCACGTGTGTCCTCGCGCGGTGTCCGTAATGAATCCATCCCGAATCATTAACGTCACTTTGCAGACACTCCGTTTCCGCCGAGCGCGCCCCGCCCCGCCCCGCCCCGCCCCGCCCGGCCCTGACCCGAGACGGCCGGTCCAGCCCAAACCTCGGTCCGGTGGCCCCGAGCAGCACCGCACGCCCCCGACAACGACACTCGGACTGTACAGTCTGGTACAGTCGGGTACAGCGGACTGACTCCGAGAGTCGTTTCCGTCGCTCTGTCTCCCTCGCTCTCAGGGGGCGTCCGGCGTGCGAGAGAGACAGAGTGACGAAAAGGCTCTCGTGGGGTACAGTCGCGGTGCGTGGGAGTCGGTGGGAGTCGCCTGTCACTTTCACTAGCCGGCCGTGTCAGCCGTGCCGGCCTTGGCATTTCCCCGTTCTGATAAGAGACGCTGCCGCGCTCTGCTCGAGACTCGAGATGCGCTCGGCTGGCGGTCGGCGGCGCGCGCACCCCGCGGCTGCCTCGCTGCTTTACGAGGTCGGGGTGACGTGGACGTCGGTGACGTCAGTGACGCCCTCGGTGACGCCAGGCCGCGGCCTCGCCAGGCCACGCCCCCGCCTCGCGGGGTGGCGGTGGTGCCCTGGCCGTGCCGCGGGGTGCGCGGAGCGGTGCGTGTTTGCGGAAAAGCGTTTAGACCGGCGCGCACGGCCGCGCGGCACGCCGCCGTGAATCACGCAAATTGACTTTATCTGGTCGCGTCTCGCGTCCGGTCGGGTCGCGGCCTGAGGTCGCCGCGTCCCTCTCGGGCGGACGGCGTCGCACACGGGTGCGAGAGAGACAGGGAAAGCGGCTTGACGAGCGCTGCCAGTTGTTGCTCCTTTTTCCGAGCAAAACGTAATCGACAATCGAGCCGTTGCCGTCGTGCTTTTATTTGGAGGCTCCCCGCCGCCCCGGCCCTCGCAGTGCCCCTGCACCGCCCGCTGCACCGTGGATGGATTTGTTTGGCCACCAATTAAAGCAGCCAATTGCACAAGCGACTCCATCTCCCCGCGGATCGGATCGCCTGAGCAATGCAGACGTTTTCCGAAGGCAGACGGTTTAACGAATTACTAGTGTGGCCGCCGAGCTGCGCGGGGGAACCTTTCGCAGCCGAGGTTGGGATTCGCGCCGCGTTTGCCAGATTAATGACTTCAACTTTCGGTCGCTGCACTTCGCTACATGCCGTGTTCTCCAAGTTTTCCACTGCATTGGCGACTCATTGAAATGATAATTTCTATATACGCGAGCTGGCTTGACATGCCCGTGTCAAATCACGTCAGACGTCAAAGTCGCGAGTGGCCCTTCCCGCCATGCACTCGCTGGCCGAGGCCGGGGCAGCCCGACGGGCAGCCCATCGGAATCCAGAGACAAATTAAAGAGTGATGAGACGCGCCTGATGAGTGATGGGGTGGGCGGGGGATCATCCCGCCGTGATGGACGCACCGAGACGGGCCGGCCGAGCTGCCAGCGGAGGACGGGACGGCCTAAGCAGTGCGTTCATCGCGCGGCGAGAGGGACAGAGCGACAGAGCAGTCAGCAGGCTGGCCGCCTGCGAGGTAGGCAGCCTGCGCGTGCTGCGCGCAGCCGTGGCTGGCGGGCCGGCCTACCCCGCATTACCATTACCATTACGGGCTGGAGGCGGCCAGGCAGGGCTGGCAGACGGCCGGCAGGCCCGAGGGGCGAGCATTAGCGGACGCATTTCGGTAATGGTGTCCAGATAAACGCAATAAATCCTTCCGCTGCGCATCGCGCTGAGCAGTGCAGCGGCGGGGCGAGATAAGCCGCCGAAACGGAGGAGGGGAAGAAAAAGGCGAGGCACATTAATCACGACTCACTCACCGCCGCGTGCAGATCATATAGAGTCTTATCGCATCGAGAAAGAAAAGGGAGGAGGAAGGGCGCGATGTTCGGCACGCACGGCCCCGCCCGGGGTCACGCGGGGCGGGGCGGGGCGGGGCGGGGCGGGGGTGTGGCCGCGAGGTGCAAGAAAGCGACCTGGCAAGGTCAAAGCCGGGCCAGGCGCACGGCGCTGGACGTGACGCCCGGATCGGCCGACTCAAGCTCACAATTTCCCCGCGGGTTTTCATTTTTCGCATTCAGGAGACTTCCTTAGAGAACGTCTTGCTCGCGGTGGTCGGGGCGCTGGGAAATGTTAATGAGGCGCGTACTGGGATTGAGAAAGAGCACGCTGCGTTCCGCAATGGAGCCGTGCCGTACCGCCCGACAGATCTGTCAGGAGTCCCCCCACACACTCGGCCGACACATAATCCCGTGCAGAATGAGCGCGGTGCTTCCAGTCCGCGTCCAGCCCACTGCAAGCCCCGCGCCTGCAACAACAGCAGTCGGCGGCGTGGCTGTGTGACGACTCCATCCCGTTGTGTCCAGAGCGCACCGAACTGCCGCGCGAAACGGGAACCACCGTGCCGAGTGCGAATAGTCCGTTCCCACGGGGTGTCGTCAACACCTGACGGTGTATCCGTCCGCCGGGGCGAGAGCACGTCGGCGGCGTTGGTTGGTCTGCCTTGCACCACCGGAGGACAGACCGGGACCGACACCGCCCGACTGGCCGCTGGCTCTGGCGGTCTAGCGGGCCTCCCTCCCTCCCCTCCCCCGCGGTCGGCAACGCCGGGCAACGCCGTGTGGGAAAACGGCGGATTAATATGATAGGATGGTCATAAGGGGCCGCGCGGCCGATCCAATAATCCGAAAACTTCCTGTCAGCACGTCTGTCGGGGGGAAGGGGCGGGGGGGATCCGGCGAGCCGTATCGGGCACCGCAAGGGAAGCGGCGTGCGCGTCTGACCCCCGCCGTCGTCGCGGTCGCGCTTCTTGCGCGCCTCCACGACGTCCCGGAGAGCCAGGACGTCGTGGAGCGTCGCCAGCGGCCCATTTCCAGAACACAATACGACGTGGCGGCGACTCGGCGGCTCGACGCGCGCGCCCTCTGGCCTATAATCACAGCGACTTTCGGCGGCCTCTCCGGCCTCACGCGCGGCGAGCTCGGCCTCGCTCTCGGCTGTGTCACGGCCACTTCCGGTCAGTCACCTACACTCGAAAAGAAAAAAATCATCAACTCGTGCCCTCGTGTGTTCCAGGACCTCCTGGTGATTCTCTTCAAGCTCTTCGACCAGGACCGCGACGAGCTCCTGGTGCAGGAGGACTGGATCGAGTTCCTCAAGCAGAGACTCACGTAAGTTGGACGCGGTTTTCGGGTGGCGTGGCGTTGCCTCACGAGGCTCGCGACAAGACGGCTTCCGTCCCATAAAGAGGGAACTGCAACGCGCCGTAATGTACTTCAAGAGGTGCCTGCGCGGCCCTCCACTGGCAGGCAATGGCGCTCGTGATTAAGTCACAGCAATTGGGCAATTATTGATGTGACGGCCGGCAAAGCAACTGCTTTATATCGCGCGTCCGGGGCCTGGGTTCGAAACCCAGCCAGGAAGACCTTCTTTTTTTTCGATGTTGCAAGGCGGCCGTTTTGGCCGATTATAATGGCGGTCCGATAAGTCCACCGCAAATCCCGTGGCGTTATTTAGCGCTGCGCGGAAAGCCTTGGCTGCAATGAATCAGGGGGGCCAACCGTGTGTTTAGCCGGCCGATGCGTATCGCACCGCGGAGCCACGGCGGAGCATGGCGGAGCATGGCGGAGCCCAGACTGGAAGACTGGATTCTCAATAACATCCTCCTGGCCGGGGCCGGGGCCAGCCTCCGTGCCCCGGGGCCTGCGTAAACCGAGCCGGCCAGACGGACTGCTGCGAGGCCCCAGTGGTCCACTGGCCTCTGGTCCACTGGCCCGCTGGCCGCACCGCCAGACCTGGGCCTCGATACGGATCGCCCGTGAATGTGCGTGCGAGTGCCTGGCCAATGCCTGGCCACTGCCTGGCCAATGCCGGCGGGGACCTCACGAAGGCGCGGAGGAGCGCGAGCATCCCGATGACGACGTGATGGAGAGTGGCGGCCGAGTGCCTGCCAGGGCGGCGCTTTGCCCGGCTCCCGCGTTCAGGTCACCGCGAATCCTGGCCGCGGTCAAGTCCACCGCCACGGACGTGGTGGTTCGGCGGTAGTGCCCGCGACGACGGCGACGACGACGGCCCCGCCGGCCTGGCCCCGGCCGCGCGCTGACTCAGAGTGACTGCAGTCGGATGCGGAGGAAAGTGGAGGGGGGTGGAGGGGGAGGCGGGGACTGTGGGTCGAGGCTAGCCAGAGAATAAATTGGTGGGGCAAGTGTTGGCGATTAGAAGTCGAGCACCGGGCCACACGCACACGGACGCGCGCGCACACACACACACGCAAACACGGCACAGGCGCGCCGCTTGGCCCGTTCCTATGAGACGCACAGGCGTCTCCGGACCCACACAAATATCTGGAGCACGAAATATTAGGGCTGGCCTACGCGCGTTGATGCAACAACGGCCAGCCAGACAGGCCGCTTAACGAAGTGATGGAGGGGGGCGGCGGCAGTGGCGGCGCGGCGAAACGGAGGCCGAAATTACGCGCGGGGTCAGTGTCAGTGCGATCACCGGATGCAGGGCGACGCACAGAATGCGGAGCAGGAAGGCTGGTTCCCCACACCGCTCGTGTCGTCGCTCCGTTTCCCTCGCACTCGCGGGGCGTCCCGTAGGGTTGCGACAGAGACAAGGCGTCGATTGGGCAGGCTCGGACTGGCCCCCAAAAGGCCGCCCAAAGTCAGGAAAATCCGCAAATTTCCGAGATTCGACCACTTTTTGACCAACTTGGTCAGAAAATCGTTGCGGTCAAAGCCAAAATCGTTGTGGTCAAGGTCTTCCCGATGAATGGCATGAAAGAGTGGGGTCTTAAGAATACTAGGACGTCGAGGGAGGCCTTTTAAGTCAACTAGATTGGGCACAGTGGCCGCCCAAAGTCAGCAAAATCAGCAAATTTCCGATATTCGACCACTTTTTGACCAACTTGGTCAGAAAATCGTTGCGGTCAAAGCCAAAATCGTTGTGGTCAAGGTCTTCCCGATGAATGGCATGAAAGAGTGGGGTCTTAAGAATACTAGGACGTCGAGGGAGGCCTTTTAAGTCAACTAGATTGGACACAGTGGCCGCCCAAAGTCAGCAAAATCAGCAAATTTTCGAGATTCGACTACTTTTGACCAACTTTGGTCCCAAAATCGTTGCGGTCGAGGGAAAAATCGTTGTGGTCAAGGTCTTCCCGATGAATGGCATGAAAGAGTAGGGTCTTAAGAATACTAGGGCGTCGAGGTAGGCTGTTCGCCGCAACTAGATCGGACGCGGTCCGTTTGGCATTCGCACAGCAGGAAGAGTATAACAAAGCGCCACTCGCTCCTCCGAGCAGGGGCGTCGATCGGTTGACCGGGTTAATGCGACACATTAATTGGTGCAGCCCGCTCCCTCCCTCTCCGACGACGACGACGACGACGGGGAAGCGGGGAAAGGACGCAGCGCGCCGAGTTCGAAGAAACGGAAAGTGGCTTTTGTCTTCCTGACCCAAATCTTGCGCCTCGCACTTGGTTTACAACGATCACTCGGGTGAGGCTTTTGTTTCGGTAGCGGCACATTCCCGGCCAGGGAATTCAACACACTCACACGCACACACACACACACACACACACAGAGGCGCCGGCCTTCTAATTCCAGGCTGACATTCCGACAGTCGCGGAGAGAGGTATCTGCTTTTTGATCCGTGCACACTGGCCGAATGCACTTTGTAAAATCTCACCAGTTTTTTCCCCCTGCCCTTCTTTTGGTTCTCAAGCCACGGATGTGTGTGTGAGTGCCTACAGTGGCCCGGCTGTCGTCGGCCGATCTCGGCCGATCCGGAAACGACTGGGGCTAAACGTTTTCTCTGAGGGTGAAGCGGATCCCAGATCGCGCGCAGGCAATTTCATGACCTTCCTTTCCATTCATAATCGGAAGCAAAATGGGCGACGGCGACGCGGCGTGCCTATCGCCTTCGGCCTTCACCCGGCGCGCGGCCCGCGCGGCCCCCGCGACCGTGGGTTCGAATACCGGCCGCAATGCATCGTTTTTTCCGTCGGAAGGTGTAATGTCCGGTGCCGCTTACGCCGCTTCCGCGGACGTGGCCGCCTGACGGCTCTGCCTGACGGCTGTTGTGACCGCCGTGGATGGATGGGCCGGGCAGCCCCACGGCCCCACGGATCGGCTGATCCTATCAGGTTTAGCCAGTCCGCTGTCCGCCGCCACGCCGCCACCCTCCATCCGCCGGCACTATCAGACCGCCGAATGGCCGACAAAGACGCGCCTTGCTCGCGTTGAAGGCGACCGTCACACTGCCAAACCGGCGGCAGAGATTGGATCGGCAGCTTATGCAGAGTAGTGGCTCGGGGCCGCTCGGGGCTGCGAGGACTTGTGTTGACGGGTCGGAAAGGCCGGACAAGGAAAACACGAGTCAACTACTAGATCGGAATTGGCTTTAAGCACCGTTCGTTTTAGGTATGCAAAAACAAAACGTGGCCGTCCACACATGGCTAGTCCATGTTTTCAGCATCTTGTTGTTTTTTTTTTTTTTTTTCGCGCTGGCGCACTTGAGCGAGTCGTGACACGGGGATATTCAATTCCAGTCGGCGTTTTGCTTTTGCTGCATTTTTACGAGTGTTTCGTGACAGGAGGCGCCGCGCGTCCCGACCGTCCCGTCGGCGAGGCGGAGCTGCGCGCCGCGCGGTCAAGCGGAACCAATGCGAGGCCTCCCTTCGCCCCGGGCGCCGCGCCGCGTATTGCCGGCATTGTTTATTAATTACTGCCGGCCGGTCGTTGTTGCGGACACACTCGCGGTGACACTCGCAGTGACACTCGCGGCGACACGTACAATTGCGGCTGTAGCGGCGGGACGTGCAGATAGTCTCTGTTTCCAGGAAAGTTTCTGAAATAAATAAAAACGTGACGAAATAACCTGGAAACACGCGGCGGTGGCGGTCTCTGCGCAACCTTTCACCGAAACACCCGCACACTGTCAGCGAATGCCTCGCCTACGTGCGTGGCAGTGCGTCTGTGTGAGTGGCCTACGTGTGTGTATGTGTAATGAGTGTACGTGTGCGTATGTGCGTGCGTGTGTGTGTGTGTGTGTGTGTGTGTGCGATGTCACGTACTGCGCGCAGTGTCCGGTACGACTCGTAATTAGAAGTATAGCGCCTGACACAGGGGCCGCATCCGCGGAGCTCCGCGAAGCTACAACTGTTGCCCCGCAGCCGGGCACTGGCACACTGGCACTGGCCTAGCGATGTAATGCGACGATAGGGAGGGCTGGCCGGCCGTTCATCACGATTACTACATCAGTTTGATGCGTTTAATGGGCCCCACAATTACACCTCATTTCGTGTTTTCGGCCGCGCGAGCGACGCCACAGTGCACGCCACGCGGAGCGCGAAGCGCGAAGCCACGCCGCGGGAAGATCTACGGCGGATTAGACGCTCGCTGGAATTAGTGTCAGGTTCAAAACGCATATTTTATGGGGAAACGGCCGCTACTTTAAACCGTGTTTTCCTTCCTTTATTTGCCGGAGGGGCGCTTCGGCGACGTAGCGAAGACACTGCAAGTGACACTGCGCCTCCTCCGGTTTTCTGGCCCACTGTGCAGTGGCGGCACGGCAGCCACGGCAGGCGGCTTGCGCGCCGAAGTGCTTCGTCGTGATGACCACTTGTTGCCGCGCTGCCGCGCTGCCGCGGAGAATGCGGGCCGCGCGAGCTGCCGCAGTAAATACATCGCCATCCTCCCCATTTTTTCCTGCCCGCTCAAAAACAATAATCCATTAACATCGGGCGACTCGGCCATTAAAAGAAACGAGCCGAGACAAAAAGCGGCTCCGCTTTCGCGCGAAGTTTGAGCCGCGCGGCCCTGACGGCCCTGCCCTGGCCCACTGTGTGGCGGCGGCATTACCATCAGGGGCGGGGGAAGGCCGTGCAATGCAGCGCGGACGGCCAGGGCGACGGGCCGCAGGGCCGGGCCGGGGTGGCACGCCGGCACACGACCACCACACCGCCACCGAATGGATGTCGCCGGCTCCTCGCACTCTGGATTGGGCCGATCAATGCGAGCATCGACAGGCCCGGATTGCCCGGCCTGCCCGGCCCGGCCTGCCCGGCTGCATTCCTGGGGGGCGTCACTAAATCGCATCAATTTGCCGGCCCTAAACGCTCCGCTGCGCCGCTGCGCTGTCCGTGATTGGCCTGTGTACGGACGCGTTACGGGTCGGCCGGGACATAACTCGCCGGGCCCTGCTCAGCCTGGCTCGGCCCACCCTCGGGCTGCACCCGCCATTTTAGACGTAAACAGACTTGCGTCACGAGTGCAGCGGCGCGGCGGCCCTGGGCCCTGGCCCTGGCGGCGGCCTTGACGGCGGCCTTCTCGTCCGTGTTCCTGACGCCCTGCGCCGCAGCCCTCGCTCGCGCCGTGCGTACAGTGTGTCACTGCGTCTCCACCTCGTCCCCACGCCGCGCGGCGCACCACGCCCTCCTGCCGAGCGATCTCGGTGCGACATCGCGCTGTCTCTCTCGCACTCACTGGGGCGTCCCGACCGGGTGCGAGAGAGACAGCGCCGTTCGGAATCAGCCTACTGGCGGGGCGTGAGTTACGGGCACGTATTCATGTGCGACAATGTCTCGGCGGACTGTCACCAGCATCCCGTCGTCGTCGTCGTCGTCGTCGGGCCCCCACCTCCCTTTGTGGCGAGTGCGGCCTGTGCGCCCCGCCCGGCCCCGCCCGCCTTGATTCAGACGAGCTGCACTCAATCGACTCGCTGTGCGGTCCCGTTCGCCGGTCCCGTAGAATATATTCCGCCGTCTCCGAACCGGGGCCCCAGCGCCCAGGAAGACGGCGGAGGTCGACATGCCCGAAACAGTGTACCGCGATTTGTCATACTTGGTCATACCACCAGAGACCCCTGACTTTCGATACGAGTCTCCCGAATTGATTGGCGTCCAGCGACGGCAGTGAAGTCGTCGAGGACCCTCGTGACCGTCATGACCGTCATGGCCATGCCTGCTTCGCTGACGCCTCGCGAGCGGTCGGGCGAAGGTGGTAATCCACCTGCAGCAGCACGGGCCGGCGAGGAGTCAGGACGAGTCAGGAAGCGCGCCGCCGCCGGAGAGAAGGTGTCGGCGCGACTAGGCCTCCCGGCCGGCAGCGCGGCGCCCCCTAGCGGCGCCTTGTCGAAACAGCCGCGCCTCTGAATGCGAAGCGCGCCGGCCTGCTGCGTTAAGTACGTAAGCAAGGTGCCATAGGAACCCCTGGCCATTAAATTGTCGGGCCGAGTGTACCGCCGGTACTGGCCGCGCGGCGCTGAAGGGCCTTCCCGGCCTTCCATCAGGCGCTACATTTCGACAGGACGTCTCCGTGAGCCTCACTTCCCCGTGCGGCTGAATGCCGTCTATGACGCACGCCGATGGCCGCCCGATGGCAGAGAGAGGTCCCGAGGGCACGCGCCGCCTCCTCTATCATTTCCGCTGCCTGAGCGCGATTGGGGGCGGGGGGGGGGGGGGGAGCATCCCGCAAACCGTGTAAGCGGGTTCGTTCCGATGAGAAATATCCGTTTTGCGCGAAAGAGGCTTTTGTTTTGAAAGCCGGAGGGGCCTTGTGTCACACACAGACCATTGTCCATCCCACGCGGCAGGGAACAAGAGGGCCCATTCGTAAGCGCTCACAAACGGGCGCTCACACACACACACTCACACACACACACTCACACACACACGACCGCAAAGGCGGCGAACGCACGGCCGGCTGCCGTCAGGCCTTCACTGGCAGGGAGCCAGTCCCAACACCACGCTCTTTAATCTTCTCAGTGCAACAGTGTTGGCCGTTAGAGGCGGCAGGGGATCAAATTTCCGCTCATTCAGACTTGAATTGACAAACAACGCGCGCGCCCTCGTGAATGGCGAACACGGCGACACGACTGGCTATTGGCAGACACGCGCGAGGCACAATGAATGAAGTGGACTCGCTGGGCCACAAACACCCGAGGGGCGGCGTTGGTTGCCTGGGCCCTGCCCCGTCCCGGTAGCACGAGGCCTGCCGCGAGGCCCTTGAACCTCGTGGTCCTTGGAGGTTATCGGAATTTAGAGCGCGCTGTAAGGTCCGAGCGAGCTGGCCAAGCGTAGCCAAGCCCACTCCGGCCTGGCGGCAGTGCAGCTAGCAGTGCGGCACCAGTGCAGCAGCAACCTGCAGCAACCCGTTTACGAGGTTATTAAACACTCGCCGCGTTCTCACTGACATTGTATCCTAATTTATCACGACTCGCCGTTGCTGCGCCTTGCTGTCAAAACGGCAGGCATAACCCCACACAACGTCTCATAACCACCAAAGCCTCCGAGCATTTTTCTTTCGTTCCGCTATCGGCCAGGAGTAGGCAGACTCAGTCCGTGACACGAACACACATACACACACACACACACACACACACACAGACAGACACACACACACACACACACACACACGAACACACACACACGCCCGCTTCTCATTCGTTTTGGAGAACCCTGAATCTCGCCCCAGTTCGCGCCAGCTTGGGTTGCGCGGGCGAGGAGTGGAGCTGTCATCCAGTCCGCCTGAAGGATATCTCTCTCTCTCTTTCTCTCTCTCCCCTCCATGGATAGCCAACATCCGGCCGCACTTTTTACTGCGCGACATGTAGAACAGGGGCATAAAGTGCGGACCTTGACGACGTGTTAGTTTACCGTCGCCGGGGTGCAGACGACATGCCGTTAGTTCATTACGTTTAGCGCTGCCATCGCACATCGCGCAGAGAGCTTCGCAGTTGCACTCACCAATCTTTAGCAGGACGCCGTCCAGAGGAGTGCAGTAAAGTTGGACTGTGTCTCCATATGCCCGAGTGTCTGCGAGGCTGCTGCGTTGCATCAACAGGTCCCACGTTGAGAGGCTCAGAAGTGAGGTTAAGTTGCCCAGTGTCTCTCTAAGCCCAACGGAGAGGCTGCTGCATCCACGAGCCCGGCTCAGTGGCTCCGAGGCAAGCCCAGGCGAGGTTAGGACGCCTAGGTCCGTGGGCCGCGCTGCACCAAGCTCTGCCATAAGGCACGCGACGCGTAGCGACGTGTCCGCGTTGCCAAACTGACTGGGCCGGGAAATATTTCACATTGACAGGTCGGTGCCATCGCGCTGCATATTTATCGCCGGATCAAAATTCCTCGCGTCCTTTCCGAACCGTGCTTTCGTCGCGGCGTCTCTCTCGCACTCCGTCGGCGTTCCTTCGAGCCGGCCCGGGTTGTTCGGAGACGGCTGGCTGGCGGGCTGCAGCGCGGTGAGTCCGTCTGTCTGCCTGTCTGGGACGGACGGGCTGACAGACAGACGGCGGAACGGACTACTAATTTGCGTGAGGGATGTGGCGTGGAATATGATATGCTGGGGGTCACTCAGCGGGTAGGCAAATAATTGGTTTCGGGCAGGTTTCTGCTCCGGTCCGCGGCGCGTCACTGCCGTCACTCCGGAACGCAGCCGCAGCCTTCCCGAAGCGTCCTAGAGCGTGCCATGCCTGCCACGCCACTGGCGGCTTTTCGGGGGTGGGGCGTACCGTCGTGCCACGTCGGCCGACCCAAACTCGCTGGCGGCGCGAAAGCAAGACAGCTGGAGGCGGCCGCGTTGGTTGATATTGGCGAAAAGCGAGACAACCGTATGCCACCTGCAGACTGATTCCGAGAGTCGTCTTCGTCGCTCTGTTTCTGTCACACCTGCACCGTACGCCCCAAGAGAGCGAGAGAGACAGAGCGACGAAAACGACTCCCCGGCATGAGTCTGTGCCACCTGTGGGGCCCTGTGGAGCCTGGTGGGGCCCACTGCCGGCCATTCCGGCTCTAATGGACGCACGAAAATCTCTCTCATGTCTTCGGTCCCACCGTCCGACTGCGTGCCTGTCTGTCCGTGTTGTGCAATGTGCCGGCCAGGCCGTGTCCAGTGCCGACTCGGCGACTCGGCCGGCAAGCAAATAAAGGCCGACATTTGAGCTTGTCGTCGGCACACCCCTGCCCGCCCGCCTGCCGGCCCGCCGGCCGGCGCGCTCGCTCTCTGAATTTCATTTTTGGCCGAGTGGTGTCATTCCCGTTACAGCCTGAATCACTAAGCAGTTTCCTCGGCGATGCTGCCCGGCCAGGACCGCGGCCGGGGCCCAGCCGGGACCCAGAAGGTGTGGGTTATTGGAGGATAACTGACCGTCTGGCTTTACGAGGGCCGTTGCCTCGCAGGCGGAGTGAGAGTGAGAGAGAGAGAGAGAACGCAGCCGTTCTGCCACCTTAGCTAATTACAGAGACAGCTTTTGGGGGTCGTCTGTATGCAGCTCCATACTTAAGCAGAGTGCACGGCGTCAGGCGGCCGGTCCCGCTCCCGGACGAGGTGTTGCAGGCCGCGCTGCCGCCGCCCTGCCGCCGCTGCGCCAGGCCATATTCCAAATAAATAATGATGGTCCCCGTGGAGCTCGTCGAGGGCGTTGCGGCGTTGCGCAGCGTGCATCGGGACGCGTTGCGGGGCGTTATCGCCCGGCCGACACCTCGACGAGAGGTTTTCGCTTTCGCCTTGCGCGCGTCTTTCCTGAAGGCTGACGAGATGGAGACGTTTTCGGAGGGAAGGGGATTGCTTGTAATTGGGGGTTGTAAACACGCTCGAAAACAAAAAACAGCACCGCTCTCGGCAAAAGAGCCGCACGCTTTTTCCCCCTGTATTTTCTCACATTGATCGCGTTGCTCCTAGTGACCCCCTGCGGTGCCTGTCTGTCAGCATCCCCCTCCACGGCCTGCGCCATGCGGCTTTGCGGGGGGGGGGGGGGAGCCGCGGTCCGCCCCAGTCCATTCACACACGGCGGTGCGTGGGTAGACACTCGTCTCATTACGAGCGTCAAGTTGGTCGGAATTGTTTTTGAGGGAAATATGAACAAGTGTCTCTTTGCTCTGTTTGTTGCGTATCTCTATTAGGGAGTCGCCTAATGTCCTGTGGTATGAGAAATGACTGTGACGTCACTGAGCTTGGAACGCATTATTCAGTTTCTGCTCAGCGCGGTTTGGTTCTCGCTTCGAGTTGTGTGGCGCGCCATTTCGGCGAAAGCCCTGTCTTGAATGACGTTGGGATCGTTTCGGAGTGGAGCGGTCCGGGGCCCTATAAATACGTGGCTAGGGTGATAAAATGTATCCAGTCCATTAGAAACGCGGCGCGGCGGCTGCCTTGCGCCTGCCATGGAGGTGACACCGGCTGAGTGAACGTGTCACGCGCTCACACGCACACATGCACGCACACATGCGCACACGCACGAACGCGCACGCATACGCAAATGCACACATCAAGACTCACCGCCACTTGACGACTTTGAGTTAGGAGTAGTCGGGGGTTGTGGGTTTCGCAAGCCCCGCGACGGCAATGAGGCGCACATGTCGTGGCTTTCTTTACCACGCGGTATACGCGCTCTCCGAAACGGACTTTCCGCCGAACCTTTTTGCGTCGTCCCGAGTCTGCGCCGAAGCCTCGGCCGAAACGGCCGCGCGCCGCCCGAACGTCTTTTTGCCGGGAGCGGCCGGCGACGGATCTTGGATCGTGGGAGCGCTCGCCTGCAGTGTGCCTGCAGTATAAACAAGCGAGCAAACCTTTTTGCAGTTGGGTTAGGTTCGGTTAGGTTAGGCGTGACAAGTCGGCGCGAAGGCGAACGGCGTGCGGCTGTACTGCAGTGGAGTGGAGTGAAGCGTGGTGCGATGAGTTACGGCCGCCACGCCGCGTCGCGCCGCCACGGCCCACTAGTGTGGTGGTAGTGTCGCCGGCCCGACGCTGGGCCGCGCTCCCCCCGCCCCGCCGGAAGGGGGGCCACCTGCCGTTCAATAAATTTATACCCACAACTTCATGACACTGTGTTGACGACCGCGGCTCTGCCGAACCGCGACGGCGGGCTGGCAGCTTGGCGGCGTGGTGCTGGTTGGGTTCGTCCTGCGCGGAGAGGCAGCGAAGGGCTGGCTGAAGCGGGCTGACTGGATGGCTGTCGCGTCGCCGCCTTCGAGATCTCGAAACATCTCGAGGCTGCTTAGCGATTCGATATAAATGACGTGCTGCTGGCCGCACTGCCGTGCTGCGCTGCGCGTCCTAATCACTTTTTTCCGACTTGTCTGCAGGGATGAGCGGCACATCGACTTCGCGGAGCAGGTGGAGAGCGTCGCCTACGTCCTGTGCGGAGATGGCCCCCTCGACCTGCACCGATTCTGCCAACTGTTCCAGGCCAAAGGGGTGAGTACCGTCTGGTCCGAAGTCCGAAGGTGTGAGTGCGGTTGCCGACTCACCTCACTGTTTTCAAAATCCAGGGAGGCCGTCAGGGCCATCAAGTTGAATCCGAAATGTTGAGTGGTGGTACCGAAGTGAACGGTGGGCCTGCTCAGTCGCCGCCCTGTCTCTCTCGCACTCGCGGAGCGCACCACGGGGGTGCGAGAGAGACAGCGGTACGCGAGAGTCTGCAGCCAAGGACGCGGCGGGCGCGGCGGGCGCGGACGGCGGCGACACCGAAACGCGTGTTTGGCGCGGCGGGGCCACGACCGCCCTGCACTCCGTACATGCTACACCACTCGACGACCACGACGACGACGTCGAGGAGCGGCAATAAGAATGGCCGCGAAAAAGCGGGACGGGGAGAAAAAGAGGAAACGCCAAAACTCGTCCGCCGACTTGCAGGAAGAGGTGTCCGGGGCTCACAAGTCGGGGCGACCGTCGGGCCGACATCGCCGGACATCGGGGCTGACAAATCAATGGCCCGGCCGGCACTGGCGGGCACCTCGACAACATTACCCCCTCCCCCTCGGTGCACCTGCCGTGTAAGGACAGCCCCCCTCCCCCCGTCTGACGGCCGGATGAGGAAAGAGGCGAGGAAATCTTAACGAGATGATCTGCGGGGCGGCCAATGGGCGGCCAGCGTGGCCGGCGCGTCGCGATGCGATAGAGACGGACGCGACGCAATGCGGTCCGCGCGAACCAGAGGCAGGCCTCGAGGCAGGCCGAGCCGAGCCCGCCACCGAGCCGTCGCCAACCTCATATAGCCTGCGACCTCACCAAGAACAGTCCAAAATTAAAGAGTTTGATTAAGAGCAATCCGAAAAGGAAAAATAAGTGGAGTTCAGACAATTTTCTTACATATCGAGGGGCGTCTTGAAAGGGGGGGGGGCGCTGTGATACACGGCGGCATGTGTGCCCCCATCCCATCTAAATTAATCGCCTACCGGTCCAAATGAATGCGTAAGTGTGTGTGTGTGTGTGTGTGCGAATGCGGCCGCGTGCATCGGACGCATAACTCAGAGAATACGCCGCCGACAGTTGCAGAAAATGATTCCGTGCTACGCGCCGTGCGCCCGGTCCCCACCGCGGCTAGATGTCTCTGTCAGCCACAGGGCTGGTGCGGCACGGCGGGGCGGGGCGTGCGGGGCTCGGGGACCACCCTACAGTGTACCGCGAGCTTTGGGTAAACGCGGTAAACGCGCACAAGGGCTCTCCGGCGCGCCGCAGCAAAGCTGCAAATTGGGCGAGCGCGGCGAGTGCAGCTGCAGCCGGGGCGCGAAACTCGAACCTGTCTGCATGGCCTGGGGCTGCAGCGGGCCGCGGCGGGCCGATGCCGGACCTGCGCTCCCTCTCTCTCGCACCCCCGCGGCCTGCGGGACGCGCCGTGAGTGCGAGGAGGGCGTGCAGGCGCTGGCCCCGGCCGGCATCCTCCTGATTGAAAACCACCTCGCCGCCACGCCGCCGCCCAGCGCAAGGCGAGCGCACGCCGGAGCGCCATCCCGGTTCTCGTAATCGAATTTACCAGCCCGGCAAATTTGAAATTGAGACGTGCATATTGATTTAGCGGGCCGTCGGGTCGCCGCGGGCGGGGTGGCATTTTGCCCGGTATTCATGAGCGGCACTGTAAGGAGTCTCGCTCTCTCTCCCACTCATTGCGACGTCCCCCGAGGCCAGGGGCATACCGACCTCAGTTTGGGCAAACTGGGAAACGCGTTGTTTCGCTTTGAATACGTAATGATGCTTGGACTTGATGCGGACTGTGCTGTGCAGGCACACGTTCAGGCACACGTGCAAGCTGCAGGTTGCCACCCCTCCCCCTTTGAGAAACGGACACGCCGATGTTGATGGATTCGGTGCATTATCTGTTCCAGATCGTCGACAAGCTGTACCGGATGGTGGACACCGAGTCGGCAGGCAGCGTCACGCCCGAGCAGGTCCTGTCCCTCGTCGCCAACCTGACCAACCGCAGGTAGGTCCTTCTGCCCGTCAGCCTGCTGGGCCGGCTGGGCCTGGGCAGGGCAGCCCTGGGCTGACACGAAAAGCGGGTTTGGCTCGGCTGCTTCGGCTGCATGCTTTGGCTGCTTTGGCGAGCCCCGGACAAACAAAAAGTAAATCAGTATGTTTATTCTCCGGGCATCGGCTCCGTCGGCGTGATGGTCCAGTAATAGGCCCCTTTGCATAATGTTTTGACGCGAGAGACCCCTCCCGGTCTTCACACTCCGGCAGAATGATGATTCCGAAGGCCTCTCTCTCTTTCTCCCTCACGTCCCGTATGGGTGCGAGAGAGACAGACCGGCGGCCCCCCGCTCGGAATCGGTTAGTTGTTTGCAGCCCGGCCGGTGGCCCGGGTCGCCCGGGCCGACGCGCGCTTCGTTAGTGGTACAAGCAGCTAATAGCCTATCAGTGTGAGAGAGAGAGAGGTGATGCGCCGCGCCTCGGAGAGAGGCAGAGGCTGTCCGTAAATTGGTGGGCAAACAAAGCGCCTATGGGACGCGCCAGAGAGAGAGACAGCGCACCACTGTTGAGGTCGTATCCTTTCCTTCCTCGCGTCGAATAATATGGTGTGCGAGCGACGCAGTGAGCGTCTTCGTGCGAGTGAGTGCGTGCGCGTTTGTGCGTGCGCGAGGCGTGCTGCTCTAATTAGAGTCGACATATCGGACGCCAATTAGAAAGCTCCAATCCGTCCCGGCGCCGCCTAGCCGCCCAGCCAGCCGCCGCGCCGCCGAGCCGTCGCCGTCAGGCCGCTGCAGCAGACTCATTCCGAGAGTCGTTGTCGTCGCTCTGTCTCCCTCGCACCCGTACGGAACGCCCCACGAGTGCGAGAGAGACAGAGCGATGGAAACGACTCGCGGAATCAGTCTACCGCGGGCCGACCCGCCACGGTGACGCCGCGCACCGCGATGGAGGGGAAGAAGAAGAAGACTGACGGAGACGCGAGTCTCGCTCCACTGACGAGCAATAGGGCGGCCGGGGGCGGCACACCACTGCAAAAACATGCAAAAGAGGGCTGCGCGTCGCTGCGCGTGTTGGTGCCAAGGTCACGTTGACGCTATTTGGACTCTCTTGGACCCCAGGCCGTCGGCGGCCTCGGCCTCACGCGGTCGCACCGTTGGCCGGCAGTGCCGTACCGGCATACCGCCTTATGCCATCGACGGGATTTGGTTTACAGCCCGTGTACAGTGTACGCACCGCAGCACTTTTCGCGACTCCATTTTCGCAACGACGCTGTGCCGCGGCCTGCCGACTGACCTGCTCCTGTCTCTCTCGCTCTCGTGGGGCGTCCCGTGTGGGTGCGGGAGAGACAGAGCGGCGAAAACGACTCTCGGAATCAGTCTGCTGCGGGCTGCGCACCTGTGCCGACGTCCCGACGTCCCGACGTCTCGGGTTTAATGAGCAATAATCATAAAACGTTAGTGCGGCACCGCGGCACCGGCCCGGCAATCCCATTGGCCGAGGCGGCGAGGAGGAGAGGCGGGGAGCCTGACCCGCACACGTGTGCCGTGGTGCCGTGCCGTGGTGCCGTGCGGCCGCGCCAAAGCAGAGCCAAAGCAGAGCCCGTGACCCGATCGTGATAAATCGCACGCTTTACATGCACCGCCAGCAGCCACAGAGCGCCTGGCGGGTAGGCAACACACCGATCCGGAGCGTCCCTGCTGCCTACCTCGCAGGGTGCTCGTGCCAGGCGCTGCGGCGCGCTGCGGCTCGCGTACACGGGCGTGCCCTATCTGCGGCGTGGGCGAGGGCGTTGCACTGCCGCACCGCGCTGGCCCGGCCGATGGCTGCCGATGGCACGGCCGGGCCGGGGCGTCTTGGCGTAGGAAGTTGCATTCGGGCACAAACAGAGGTGGCGGCGTTGGCGCGGCGCGCCAGTGTAGTGCAGCAGTGCGCCATGGCGGCGACCGAGCGGACCGAGTGTGCTGACGCCGCGACCAAGACGATGGCGGCGACGACGGTCTGCGTCGAGGCCTGCGCACACCTCCACTGCCAGCCCGAGTGAGTGTGTATTCCTGTACTTCCAGTGAGCCGGCCTCCCAGAGCCCCCAGCCGCAAGCCGGCCCAAGCTGTCAATCAGCCACTTGTCAAAGGCAGCCAGCAGTGTCTGGCCTGCACGGCCTGCATGGCCTGCACGCCGAATCGTTTTCAGGTTTCGCGAGAAAGGGAGCAAGGTTTTGTCTGACGTTTTGCGTCATGCAGCCGCGCTGCACTCGCTCATTTTTACCTGTCCGTCTTTTTACTTTGGCTTTCCACACGCTGCAGCGCTGCAGCCGGACGCACGGATCTTATCACGATGGCAAGGGCTCGCCGTGACTTGTCACACCAACAAAAAATAAAGCACACGCACCGAAAACATTTTTGTTTTGTTTTTAATAGAGTGTCCCCGCGAGAGCCGCGACGCGACGCGCTGTCTGGGCGGCGGGCTGTGCGGGCTGGGGCTCCCCCACCCCTCCCCCACTTGGCGCTGCAGCATGTCAAACTGACCTTAGCCAGGACCAGTAATGACTCCGGCCCCCTCCAAGACCCCCGCCAGGCTGGCCCAGCCCGCCCAGCCTTGCCCAGCCTTGCCACTCATTGGCCTAGGGGTCGCCAAGGCGACGCGTGGCCGCGCCGCGGCGGCCGGGGTGGCTCCGGTGGGCGGGGCCCCGGCTGCAGGCGGCTGGCGGGGACTTGGTGGGAGTTGTTGTTTGACCCCCACATGGTGGCGACTGGCGACGCCGAAGTGCCGTCGGCGTGGTGACGTCATCCGGATCATGGACGACGGAGCGACGGTAGCCGCGGCGCGCTCCTAAATGTATGCGGGCGAGCCGCCCCTCCTCCCCGAAGTGCCCCGCGCTGACGGCGCGCTGACGGCGCGTTGACGGGGAGCTCGCGCCCCCAGCCGGCCAGCCCCCGCCGCCGATCGCGCGGGATAAACCACCCGGCCAGCCGCTAATGGCGGCGATAGCGGCGCCGTTTTGCGTCCGATCGTTTCCGATCGCCAATTTCCGATCGTTACCTAATCTCCGATCGTCAATTCCTGATCGCCAATTTCAGACCGCCAATCTCTCTCCTCCATGTTGCAGGCCCCGCACCGGCTTCGACCGCGGCAACCTGGAATGGCTGGAGCGCCTGTTCAAGGAGACGGTGGGCGACCAGAAGGAGATCCGCCGCGACGACTTCAACAAGATCGTCATCTCCAAGAACGTGAGTCCTGATGGGATAATCTCTGGAGGGGCCAACGGCGTGTTTATGGCGGCCATCAGCGTTATGTCGATCAGCTGGACTCGGATTGGAGATTGAATCGCGAAATTGGGAGATCGCCAAGGAGATAGCGGCGGGCCAGGCGGCGGCGCGGTGCAGCAGCGGCAGCAGGACGGGGGCACTTGCCACCTCACGCCCGCCGCGCCGCCCGCCGCGCCGCCGCAACGCCCACCTGCTGAGGTTCGCGACGATCGGGCAAGCAACGACTGTACCCAAACAAAAAGACAACGTTAAACAGGCGAGTCTAGGTAACGGCTGCCGGTGTCGTTTTCCTGTTCGCCACGGTCGTGACGGTCTTCGCCACGCCCAGGGCATGTGCGCCCCAATCAGGCCGCGGGCGTCCTTCCTCTTTGCGCCACTGTCGCCACGCGCAGTAAAGATCCCCTATTTTACGGCGCGCGCGCAGTCTGGCCTCCGCAGCCCCGCCCTGCTATGCACTCCCCGCTCCAGCGTCCTCCAGTACGGCTCGAGTCAAACATCCACCACATGGCTGCTCTCCGAATGAGATGAGGAATCCGTTGGCACCGTCCAGTGTTCGATTCGACCGGTTATGAGGGATCAAGGATGGCGGTGCTGGACAGGTCTCCTCGCTTGCAGTGTAGCCTCTAGGGTCGCACCGCCTTTGGTTGGGCACCGCCGGCACTGCATCTGGGGTCATTACATTGTTGCGTGCTGCCACTGCCGCCGCCGCACTGCCGCTTTGGCCATCATGATGTGGATAGATTGGAGGTGATAAAGTGCGGCAAAAGGCTCCGGGGCCCTCGGGACTCTTGGAGTATGCAGAGCGGCGCTTTACTGCCCAAGCCTGCAGCAAGCCAGCAGCGAGCTAGACGCCGGCCGGCCGAGCGTCGGCCTGGACGCCGCCAATTTTAAGGCACCCCACGTTTATGGCGCGTGTTTCTGCGGGTGCACGAATACCAGTGTCATAAAAAAAGAAATATTTAAAAACGCCCTAACGCCCGCCTTGCCTAGACCGGGTTGAACTTGGCGGGAGTCTCGCTCACTCCGTGCACTGCGTGGCACTGCGTCCGTGTTGCAGCCCTTCTTCACGGAGCGGGTCTTCCAGATCTTCGACAACGACAACTCGGGCTCCATCTCGCTGCCCGAGTTCCTGGACGCGATGCACCAGTTCTCCGGCAAGTCGCCGGACGACAAGATCAAGTTCCTCTTCAAAGTGTACGACATCGACGGTGAGTGGCGCCCGTGCGCCTGGCGGGCAGGCAACCCATCGCGCCGCTGCGCACCGCCGGCGTGGCGGCCGCCGCTGGAGCGCGCCCAGCGCGCAGTTTACATTAGCAAGACACATCAACACGCACACACACGACGAGTGCGTGCGCGTGTGTTGGTGCGCAATCATAAGACGCAATTGGATATGGAGCGAGCGGCTGCCGAGCGAGGGAGGCATGCCTTGCCGACGCACGTCTCATCGGGCGCCATGTGCTTCCCCAGGCGACGGGCTGATCCAGCAGAGCGAGCTGCAGCACGTCATGAGGGCCTGCATGGAGGAGAACGGCATGCAGTTCTCGGAGGAGCAGGTGGCCGACCTCACCATGGCGCTGTTCGAGGACGCGGACCCCGGCGGCAGGGGCGCCATCACCTACGAGGCGCTCAAGAACCAGCTGGAGAAGCACGGCGGGCTGCTGGAGAACCTCTCCATCAGGTGAGTGCTACGTGTGCTTTGCTGCACCGCGCACCCCTTGGGTGCGAGAGAGGCAGTGCACCTAACCCCCTTGCCCGTCGGCGCTGGCCGGTGCCCGCAGCATAGACCGGTGGCTGGTGCCGCCCAAGCCGAAGGGCAAGCCCGCCTCGCTGCAGGGGAAGGTGTCGGCGTTGCGGCCCTACCAGCTCACGCGGCCCTACCTCAAGAACAACTACGTGTACCTCATGTTCGGCCTGGCCCTCATCATCGTCAACCTGGGCCTGTTCGTGTCGCGCGCCGTCGAGTACCGCCACCACAACGGCTTCGTCATCCTGGCCAGGGCTTGTGGTGAGTGAAGTGCCCCCACTGTTTGCCAACTACCCCCCGCCGAGTCGCGCAGCTCTGTCCCTCTGAACCCTCCAAGAGTGGAACGGGAGGAAGAGAGACAGAGCTAGCTGTTCGATCGGGGTGCCGCTTGCAGGTCAGTGCCTCAACTTCAACTGCATGATGGTGCTGGTGCTGATGCTGCGGCACTGCATCACCTACCTGCGGACGCGCGGCTTCAGCCAGTTCCTGCCGCTGGACCAGCACATCTACTTCCACAAGGTGACGGGCGTGCTCATCTTCGTGTACTCGTCCGTGCACACCGTATCCCACCTGCTCAACTTCAGTGAGTTTCACAGTCGTTTAGCTTCGTCGTATCCGAATCGCTCGCTTGGAGTGTGTGAAACGCGCTTTGCTTTCTGTTTCCGCAGGCGTGCAGGTGATTAACGACCCGGTGGTGAACGCCCAGAACTACACACTGTACGAGTGGCTGCTCACGTCGCGGCCCGGCGTGTACGGCCTGGTGGGCGGCGCGGCCAACCCCACCGGCGTGGCCCTGGGCATCCTGCTGCTCGTCATGTTCATCTGCTCGCAGACCTTCGTCCGCCGCGGCGGCTGCTTCGAGGTGGGTCGCCAACTCCCATTCCGTTTCTAGTGCAGCCAGCGGGGAAGAGGGCCGGTTCGCCGGGGTGCCCTCTTTCGCTGAAATTTTCTTTGTCGTGTTGATTTTATTTCCGTTCCTCGTTGTTGTGCTTGCCGCAGATCTTCTACTGGACGCACTTGCTGTACGTGCCGTTCTGGGGGCTGCTCATCTTCCACGGCCCCAACTTCTGGAAGTGGTTCCTAGGCCCCGGCGTGCTGTTTGTCATCGAGCGGACGATGCGCTTCACGTGGATGCGGACGGGCCGCGGCAAGACGTACATCTCGTCGGGGCTGCTGCTGCCGTCGCGCGTCACGCACCTCGTCATCAAGCGGCCGCCGCACTTCGACTTCCACCCGGGCGACTACGTGTTCGTCAACATCCCGTCCATCGCGGTCTACGAGTGGCACCCCTTCACCATCTCCAGCGCTCCCGAGCAGGAAGGTGGGCTGCCGTCCTCTCTCCTTGAATGAGCTCTGTCTCTGTCGCACTCGTGGGGCGTGGAGTGCGGGAGAGACATCGCGGCGCAGCGATCCTTCGGTTCGCAAACTGAAAGTGGCCTTGGTCCGCAGACTACATGTGGCTACACATCCGCGGCGTGGGCGAGTGGACCAACCAGCTGTACGCGTACTTCGAGCGCGAGCAGGAGAAGCTGCACAACGTGAACGTGGAGCTGCCCACCGGCAGCAGCACCCCCGCCACGCCGCAGACGCCGCCGCCGCAGCACACCGGGCTGCGCAGACTGCAGGCGTGAGTACGGTGCGGTACGGTGCCCAGGCCAAACCAGCCGCCGCCGCCGGTATTCGAACCCGCGTCAATCCCCTCGCGTGCCGGCAGGTCGCTGTCCCGCAAGTGGTCGAGTAAGGACGTGGTCGGCAGCCCCGCCCGCACGGCCAGCAAGAAGGTCAACTTCCCGGTGCCGTCGAGAGGCTTCCGCCCGGACGCGCCCAGCTTCCAGAGCGTGCAGGTGGTGCCGCCCGGCGAGAGCCGCGAGGACCACGGCGCCGGCCCCGGCCAGGGTGAGCACCTCCCCGACGTCGCCCCCGCCCCTACCACCGAGCCCTTCCTAAGGGATGTTCTGTCCGCAGAGGGCTTGATGAAGCCGGCCGCCCTGCGCCGTTTGGTCCTGGACGCCAAAGGGCCGCTGTCCAAGTCGCTGTCCATGCCGGACATGGACAACCGCAGCAAGAAGAGGGACCGCCTCCTCGCGTGAGTACCCAGTAGAGCCTGGGGCCAGGCAGGCCCGCGGCAGAGGACTTTGTCCAACACCAACCTCTGCTTCACTTTGACAGGCTGCGCGACTTCGCGCGATCCGAGTCCGAGAAGTCCTTCGACGAGTGCCAGATGCGGCGCGCCCGCCTGCAGTCCCTGGGCCTGGCCTACCTATCGCCTCAGAACAAGTCGCTGGCGCAGAGCTTCCGCTACATGCGGCACAAGCCGACCATCATCGCCTTCAAGGTGCCCTGCCCCAGTGCCGCGCCCCCAGTGCCGTGCCGACGGTCGTCCGCACCCCTTGACGGTGTACCCTCGACTGACTCGTTGCCTCCTGCTTGCAGACGCCCAGCTTGGAGAGCTGCCAGGCGCGGCTGTCGGCCATCGCGCTGGCGCAGGCCGCGTCCCGCGACTCCAGGCCCGCCCGCGACGCGACGGCGGCCGCGGAGGAGGGCCGGGTGTTCGCCGACCCCGCCGCCGACGCCGAGGGCAAGCACACGTCGCCGCCCACGCCCATCGGCATGAACTACCCCGTCGGCAAGCCGCTCGAGGTGAGTCTCGCTCGGGCCGCCCCTGGCCTTGGGCCTGGCCTTGGGCCTTGCCCTGGCCCGCGAAGGTTAGGTTAGGCCCCGACGCACTCGCGCACGGCTAGCAGGAACTACTTGACGTTTGGCGCGTTTCGCTCGGCAGGTCGTGCTGGAAGGCAGGACACCGCGAAGCAGCACCGCCAGCGAGAACCCTCCGCCCGGAACGACAGTACGGCCCCCACTCCCTTCCTTTTCGTTCCCTGTCTCTGTTTTCGTTTGTGTTTCTCTGTTGTGTCCTCGACAAGCTCGCTGCGTCCATGGTGCACGGGGTGTGTTCGTGGCCGGTTGCATATCCACAGCTGCATTTATGTTGTTCATCTTTCTCATCGTAACCCTCCGTTTCCATTATGTGTTGCTGCGCTAGTTCATGCGTGTGTGTCTGGGTCTAACCAAACCATGTGCCATTCTCTATTTTTCGCCCCAAATTAAATGAATAACAACACATGTTTGTCATTGCAGTGACGATGGTCTTTGCATGTCGGATTGTGTCCTTTCTTCCCTTTTTCGCTCTCTGTCCGCTCCGAGCTGCAAGGCTGCAACCGTCTCCGTGTCCGCAGATCTACCTGGACGGGCCGTACGGCGCGCCCTCCTCGCACATCTTCCGCGCGCAGCACGCAGTGCTCATCGCCACGGGCATCGGCGTCACGCCCTTCGCCTCCATCCTGCAGTCCATCATGCACCGCTACTGGAAGGCCCGGCACACCTGCCCGCAGTGCACCTACCAGTGGGCGTCCGACATCCCGGCCACCATCATGAACCTGCGCAAGGTGAGGGAGCGCGTTGCCGAACAGCCTGCAGGGTAGGCAGTCCCGTCGAGCGCGGACGCGCGCAATGCGGTGTGGCTGCCTACCTTCCATTACCATTACCACTAAGGGCTAGGCCACACATGATCGGAGGCGCCCTGCGCGCCGTCCTGCCGTACACGCTATGTCACACAATGCCGCTGCAGGTGGACTTCTTCTGGATCAACCGCGACCAGCGCTCCTTCGAGTGGTTCGTCAACCTGCTGTCGCAACTGGAGATCGAGCAGGCCGAGCTGGGCGGCGCCATGGAACGCTTCCTGGAGATGCACATGTACATCACGTCGGCGCTGCAGAAGACGGACATGAAGGCCGTGGGCTTGCAGCTCGCCCTGGACCTGCTGCACGAGAAGGTGCGTACCGTCGATGCCGCCAAGGCCGCCCCACGTTCCTATCGGTCTGAATGTCCGCCTGTCTAAATGCCCGCAGGAGAAGCGCGACCTCATCACGGGCCTCAAGACGCGCACCAACGCGGGCCGGCCCAACTGGGACAGAGTCTTCAAGCAGCTGGTGGCGCAGAAGAAGGGGAAGGTGACCGTCTTCTACTGCGGGCCGCCGCAGCTCGCCAGGCTGCTCCGCGTCAAGTGCGACCAGTACGGATTCTCCTTCCGGAAGGAGGTGTTCTGAGGGCGCCGGCCCGGCCGGGCTGTGCGAGTGTGAGTGCGCGTGCGTGTGTGTGTGTGTGTGTGTGTGTGTGTGTGTGTGTGTGTGTGTGTGTCTGTGTGTGTGGGCGTGCGGATGAGCGCCTCGGTGCCTTTGTGTCCCAGTATTAGTCAGTCGAGAGTTACCACGAAACGTGTGCCTAATCAAAGATTGAGGGAAGCCTTCTGCCAGGAAAACAAAATATTTATTTTTAAGGGAGGCGACTTTGACTTGTTCTGGAGGGAAGTCCCGATCGACGGACCAGGACTTTTGCTGCCGACGCAGCATTTAAGATAGCAACTAGTTCTGACTACCCCAGAACTATAGTTACCATTATAAAGCAAGTCATAAAACCAGTTACCATGACGAGTTTCGATTGTAAATATGTTTTTTCATTTACTACAAATTTGTGATTTTTTTCCCCCCCAAAGTACCTTACCCATCCTGCACGCAGCCGAACCTTGCCCAGTCGGACTAGGGTGCATTCAGTGTGCCAGGGTGGTGGTCCATCTTGGTCCTGTAAACTATACGTGTGTTACCATAGATAGGCTTTCTATTTTATTTTGTACAATTTTTCTATTATGCCTGTTCATCTTTTTGTGATTGTTGCCAATAACTGATCGACTATGTCGCATTCTCTTGGCATGAAATTTGGTGAACCAATGTAAATATCTCACTCATTTATTGATATTAGGACCTAGATTATCTAGTTGGTGAGTTTTTTGTGACAACGCAGGACATCGCGCCTCGATAGTGGTAGACCTCATAGTTCCTCATGTTGAGAAACTTTTGTTTGTACTGTACATTTTTCATCAAGAGATGCTTTGCCTCTTGAGGATCTGATTCACCTGGTTTACTTTCGTACCTTCTATTTTCTACTGTCATCAATGTGCCTTAGAAGTCTCATTAAATGTATTCAATATAGCAATGACACAAGACCATCATTTTCCCTCTTGACTTCCCCCTCTGCCGATCGTTGTTAATGTGCAAGGAAGGGAATTGAAAGAGATGATCAAATAGAAACTGCATTATTCTTTATTCAACAAAAATCAAGAACTGCCACCAGAAAAACGGCAGGAAGTATGGCTTACCACATGAAATAAAGGCAACACAAGCAGGTACAAGTAAGATATGCCCAGCACACCACAAAAAACAAATTCAAGGAAAGGGTCAATTTTAAAGACAAGTGATCAAAATTTAGTCATTATGGGGACGGAAAGGAGCAAATTGGGATGCATAAATTTAGGTCCCTTCATGTAATAGACAAAATTCTGAATGAGCAGTCATTAAAGTGTAAAAAAATACACCCTAAGTCAAAAATAATGACAAAGTAAAGTGCTGCAGTAAAATGTTCTATGCAAAATCTAGTTGATTTCTTTATGAAATTTGAAAGTTAACAGGTACTTACTATATGATAAAATTTTGTACTCTAAGTCGATTTTGTGCAAGGCAACATGAGTTACTGTACTAATATTTTGTTATAGCATTTCTATCGTTTTGAAAAACATGCATCTCTAAAATCAAAACAATACATTATAATTGAATATTGACCTTTTGACTTTGTTAGGTACAAGGATTAAAATAGTGTATAAATATCAGAATCATATCACAATATTACTTAGAATACAGTACATATAAATAAAATGGAACATACATAAAACACGACAAGTTCCAAATAAAACAAAACGAAATTCTTTTAGTACAGGAACAAAGCCAGGGAATGAGAACCCACGAAAAACCATTTACATCATTATGACTGGGACAATGTATGTACTTTGATAAAAAGGGAGAAAAAGAAAGAGTAATAAATAATAAAGTCATGGGGCAACTGTGGGCACTAAAGTGATGTAGCTAATACCCGAGATGTACTTGCAAATTAAAAGAAATATAAAGCATCAGATCAGAAAAAGATGAAGTAAACTTCAATATCACTTATAAGTTACATTACAAATACAGACGACTAGAATTCAAAATGATGTCAACATATGGGATACTGCTGCGAGGACCAAATCATTAATACATCAGCTCAGCTGGTCTAGTCCATTCATTACGTGTCCAATCCCTGTAAGACACACTCACATCCACCACAATCATGTAAAAGACAATGACAGAGAGCATGTGAGCCATAAGCTATTCCAACACAGCTTAATTACAATTTCAATTCAGATATACAACTAACAAAATAACAACAGAACAGAGATAGCATGTGATCATGGCCCCAGCACAAATAACAAAATGGTCCCTTGTATCAGCCCTCACAATTAACAATAAATATCTCATATTGTCCCACACTAAGAAACACAAAGTTAAAAGCTAAGCCTCAACGAAGGACTAAGCTTGTGCCCACCTCGTAATACTGATTAATGGCACTCCTGCACTGATAACAATGTAGTCTTTTGTCGCCTAAAACAAGGTCCAAAAAGCATTCTACAATTAATTGGCAAAAGAAATGGAAAGCAGGTGGGGAATAGATGCCAAGCAAAAACAATTAATATTTAGTAGAAAGACTGCCACAAAGAGCCACTGGAGGAAACATAACAAATTGAAAAATACACAATCCAGTACAAGCAATAACAATAATTAAAAAGTAAAATGGATGAGCAGTTTGCAGAATGCAAGACACACATCATACAATAATGGAAGATATTATGTATTGAAAATGTGCAAATCAATGACCTTGCTTTTATTCAAATGAGTAGCAATATAATTAGTTTGTACATGTAACTAAGAAGGCTCTTTAAAATTTTCTGTAGTGAAACAAATGTTAACTCACCCGCACATCACAAACATGAAAATAGGTTCCATTCCAGCCACAAACATTTCATGTTATTCAATGTGGAAAGATGCTAGAGCAATAATATTTATGCTAATTTTTTTGCTTACAAAAAGGGGAGACACTTTTTCCTACAGAGATTCGGGCAAAGTCTTTCAATTCTGGATATACTTAGTCATGTTAAAGTCTCACTTTGTTGACTAAAAATATCACATATGTTGAAGAGAAGCAATATGCTTCCATATGAAAATATCTAAGAATGTCAGCTTTGTGCATTATTACTAGCAAACATAAAACTAATTTTGGCCTCAAATAACAATCATGGAAAACAAAGAAAAATGTCTTCAAAATGGCAGTTCATACAAATATCAGCAACAAATAAAGAACATCCACAAATAATTGACAGAATATTTACTTAAGGACTACGAAACCAACAAAGCATTGCATTCAACAGGATGATCAAGCGGAGCTAGAATTAGCTGAAGCTCCACTTATAGCACTAAAGAGAGCCTGACTATTGCGTTTGAAACTACCCAATTCCTCATCGGGCCAAACAGGCTCCCCAAAGAGTTGGCTTAATTCTTGGCAAAGTTTGTGATAGTTTTGTCGAAGGACTTCTTGATATTCTTGCTGCTCTGCTGTAATAATCTTGCTATTGACTTGAAGTGCAGCATAGCAAATCTTGACAAATTCCCTAAAAAAATACATGTTAGAAAAGCTTAATTAGTTTGTGCATGTATGCTTCAACATTTCAGAAGCACAGAAATTAAAATTACCTGAAAACATCACGCAAGTCCTCAACCTTGTCATCGGGATAAAGTTCTGCCTGGCCTGGCTCCAGGAAAGCATATGCATAGGCTAAAGGACCAGCATTTACTTGCACGCAAACTGATCCTTGTAAACGAAGCTGTAGTTTTTTGGCATCCGTTGGCTTTGAGAGAGCAACTTCTTCCAGCTCTAACACCCGAGCTTGCATTTCATCTAAAGCAACTTCTATTGGGCTAAGCTCTTCTATGACACGATCCACCACACGAATGCGCTTTGTTACGTATGGGAATGACTTCTCAGCTGCAAAGTTAAGAAACAGACAGAATTGAAATTATAAAAAGGAATGGAACAAAATGTGATCTAAATTTCAATCAAGACTTACTAGTCAGAATAGCTCTTCGTTTCCATTGCTCCTGGGGAAGACCACGGGCTTTTTTGCCATCTTTTGTGAAAGGTGTTTCAAACATAAACCTGCAGATATCATGGTTTTGTTCAAACTCAGTTTGTCGTTCCTCAAGGTCTGTTTTATCAAAATAGGGTGTGACATGTGTAACTTGAATGTGAGCAAACTTTGGATCAAGTTCAGAGGAATCAACAGAAGCCGAGTCTGTCATCATTTTCACAACCCCTTCCCCAAATTTAGAGGAGTACAAACGCTGCAATCTCTCAGAAATTTCAGCCAAAGATGCAACCTTAGGTTCTTTGTATATATAGTCGATTCCACTCTCCTCTTCAAAGTATGCCTGAAATATTAAAGTAGAAGAAGAAAAAGGTCAAAACATTTATCATCTTAAAAAGCCCCAGTACAAAAGTTGTTCTCAAATATTCTTACTTGTCCATAAAAGGTAACACGGTAGTATCGGCCAAGCAATCTTTTACCAGAGCGCATTACTTCAGTGACTTTGAGGTAAGCTTTGCTGAGATTTTGGTAGCATTGAGCCAAAGCGGCAAAATTTCTTTTCTTTTCATGCATGGGAACTATTAGACGGTAAACCTCTGCCAGGCATTCATATCTTTCCGATCTTTCCAAACATTCAGCACAGACTTCCAATTGTTCCAACAGCGATTGTTCAGTATACTGAATATCTTGCACCCCTGTAAGAAAAGTATTTTATTACATTCAGAGCAAAGAGCCAGAGAACGTAAATCAAGAAGTCAGGACTACACTTACCTGCATCCAGTTTCAGCCCAGTTTCATCTCTGGCAATATTAGATGATATTTTGAGAAACCCTTCAGCACCCCAAGACTGCACATTTTTCAGCTTCAAATACTCAGCCATCAATGCAGCAATATGTAGCTGACACATAGCAGCCTGAAAAACCACAAACAGGAAACACTAAATGAACTGCACATCTTAAGAGACCGTACCAACCCCCTACAAAGAGCAAAACTCACTTCACTAAAGTTGGCATCTCTATTATGATTGCGACTTATACTTTGTAGCCATGTGTGCCGTAGTTCTGGAGTGCTGGCGTAGGAATTTGCAAGACTATGCTGCAGTGCTGCTAACATTTCTGGATCATGATGATGTTCTCTCATTTGCGCAGTTGCCATCAAAACAGTGCGAACTCTTTTAGTTAGGTCTTTAACTTCTGAAGGAAAACCTAAAGAGAGTAAATGTTTTAGTAAATTGCTGCTGGTAGAAATAATAGAGCTTAAAAGAGAAGGGAATAAAAAAAACTGTACCTGTTCCTTTCATAACTTTGTCACTAGTAGCATAACTATTTATAAGAGACAGGCTTTCTTGAAATCTAGCATTGTTAAGACCCACAATATTCCCCAACATTTGAGATACAGAGATGATCATCTGTTGGAGGGCAAAAGTCATGTCATGATAAACCAATATAATCAGAAGAAAAAAAATCTTATTTGAATGAAAGTGATGATAATTTACCTGCAAATGAACACGGGTGATTCCCTTTCCACTGGTAAATTCAAAGTTACTTCGCATAAGCAAATACAGGATTGCACAGGCTTCTTGGCGAATTGTAGAAAGTCGGCTGTTACAACATCTCAACAACTCATAACAAAACCGACCACACAAGGATGCATTCCCTTCAAGGAAATAGAAAAAAAAAATTATGATTCAAAGCCTTAACATTGAGGCAAAAATAACATCCATCACTTCACATACTGCACATTAAAAAAAAACAACAGAAAAACATGAAACTTACCCTGGAATAAGACAGTTGAGAAGTTGTTTATCAGAGCACGGAGAGCAGCAAACACATGTCTGAATAAAGTTTCAGACTGCCCTACTTGTAGAAATGAAAGCAATATGTCGAATATTTTATTCATGATTGGATTATCACCACGGTTGGAAAGAAGAGACTCTTTCATATGAATGCAATACAGGCCAAGAGCATCAAGAGTGATAAGGCCCACCTCTGTGGCCATGTTGGCTTCAAGAAGAGCCTGATATAAGCGAGTCCCTGCATCCATGTCAGCTCCACCTACAAGGAGAGCAATCAAAGCAAGAGAGGTGACTTGACAGAAAAAAAAATCATGTAATATTTTTCCGTAACTAAGCCAAAAAAATACCTTTAACAAGGTTTTCCCTCCCCACACTATTTGTTCCACTTGTTACAATGATGGTAGTTGTTGCATTACTATGACTTGGGCTATTATTAGAGGTGCCTGGGCCACTTTCAGAAATGCTTGGGTCAGACGAAAAGTCAGGAGGGGCTATTCGAGCAGGTAATGTCATTGCTTTGATAGATGCCTTATTTGAAGGAGTCACTTCTCGCACTGAGTTGGCAATATGTTTACGTCCAGTATACTTGAAGTGGTACAGGCACATTCTGTTGAGAAGATTTCATTATATAGAAAAATGTTCTGTGATGCTAAATTTTTTAAAAAAGCAGATCACTTGACAGCATTATAGCACACTCACTCCAGCACCCGGAAGAAATTCAGGAGCTCTGCAGGTTCACAAAACTGCCACCAAGCAATGAGTTGCTCTTCAGACATGTACTTCACAACAAATAAAAAGCATGTCAACAAATCTTTCACCTCTGCGGGTGTTATTTTGTCAATACGCATTGGTTGTGATGTGCTCACAGACCTGCAGACAAGATAAAAATCAGTGTAGGTTGATACCTAATTTGTCTAACTAGAAATTTTGAAATAGGTTTCAGAACAAACCTTGAGTGGGTCTTTATAACGTCGCCATCGCGGGAGCAATCATCTCTCATTATGGCAGTTTCTTGAGAGGCAGTAGAAACGGCATCACAAGAGAGTGTAGATGCTTCTGATTCCAAGCTTGCTGTGGAAGAGCCATTTACCAAGCCTAGAAAAAATTACCACAATTAAACAAACAGGAAATTTACAGAGAGGAAAAACAATTTAAAAGGGAACTGTAGTACCTTGTCCAGCAATTGCAGCAAAATAATTAGCATCTCTCAAATAAGTTGAAGCTCTAAGGCTTGATCGATTGTCCAAATGTAATGTGATCCTGAAAGTTTACCCAAAGAGCAATAGTTAAAAGTTCAAAAGTTCCAATAATTAAGATTAAAAGTATTTAGGATTGGGTGTATGAAAAAACTGAACTGAGAGAACCATTACAAATACCTGTGTGTAGATGATCTGCTGCTCGTTTCACTGTTCATGCCATCAGAAATGGAATACAGACAAGAGCCAGTACTGTTTGACAATCTATTGCTTCTGCCAAAGCAACCTGGATCGTTCAGATGTTGAACTGCATTCAGTCTGTTGAGGTTTTCTAAAACAACACTGAGCCATGGAGCATAAAGGGCAGCAATGCGGCTCAACTGGCCCTAGAAAAAGAAGGTATTTTGCAATTAACCAATGGGAAACATCGAGAACCATGTACTAAGTGTGGAGAGGGGTTGCTTGCTACCTTGCTCTGATAACGATCATCCAGCTCATGTTTAGCAAGCAAATCCCTTAAAACAGCTATTGCAATGCGTCGTGTGTGAACAACCTGGTTCAAGGCTGTTCGAACTTCCTGCAGCAGTAATCCCACTAAGAAATGAAAACGACAAAAGTCCTCACAGACAATAAATTCTGAAAGTATATCTGTAAAATAAGATTGATAGATAAGAAAACATCCACAGGAATCTAACACAGAAATCAAATGGCAAAATGACAAAATTTACCATTTGCTCTTGATTTGGTCATGCGCTGCAAAGGAAGGTTCAAGGCCACATAATGTTCATGTGAACAAACTATTTGGAGAAATGTCAACTTGTAATCAAATAATGTACGTGAATCCTCGGCTCTAAAAAGCTCCATGTAGGCCTTCAGCAGACGGAAGACATAGCCTCGGTCCATCAGTGTCAAACATCTCTGAAGAGCAGAAAAAAAGACACAGTGAGAACACAGTAAGAACAGAAAAAATACAAATAGGAAAAATATTACAAGCTTTGGGTCAAGCTAGCAAACCTTGAGAAAATGGGCTAAGCTCATGTTGAGCTGTTTTGTTTCCACAGGCACTTCTTTGTATTTATGAAGATAAGGATACAAAGCGCTTAAGAGCTCTTCAATTTTCTTCTGGTAAGTATCAGAGAATCGTTCATTACGCACCATCTACAACAAAAACATGCCAAGGCATTAAGTTGATATTGTCATAAACAAATCTCAAACCAGCATAAGTCCATCTCTTATGCACAAATCACCTTTATTCGACCAGAGCTTAAAAGGAACTGAGCCATACTTTTACTCATTACTTGAAAGAAAAAGTCTGAATGTCTCATCAGTTTGTTCACAGTCAAGAAATCAGCATAGTCAGGGCGTAGTACAGTTGGTAAATGGCGGCTGAGTTGCTCATGAACAGTTGTGTTTCCATCAGATGATGTTGGGGCTACAAGCACATACTGCAAAAAAGATAATGAATAGTTAAACCACTTTCGACATGAAAATAGATTACAACATAATCAATCAAGTGAAACTTTTCATACTTTGACATAAGCTTGGAGTAGCTCCTGTCGACCTGCATCATGAACCATGTTGACAATGTTTACAAGGAGTCGAATAATGTTGAGGCCAACTTCCTCACTTGAACATGATACCAACAGAGTAAGGAGCTGGTTCAATATTGTAGGTAAAAGTGATAGGACAGCTGACAGCTGAACTGCATGAGCAGCCTGCACACACAAAAATCAAAGCTTGTTGAGAACTAATTCATACAGTACTCCACACTTACAAACACCTTCAAAGAGATACCTTCAAAATTTGACACGTTTCTGTCTCTGAGGGACACGCTCTGGCAAGCTTAGGATCTAACAGCCTTTCCGCATGCACAAATAAGTTGTGTAAATGGGGGTCCTTTGTCAAGACAGTTGAAACCAGTTGGAAGTTGACAGTAAATATAGGCTTCTGACCATCAACCCATGTCACATCAGGACCACTAAACTGTAAAAACAAGGAGGAAATTAGAAAACTAAGTATTGGATGCCCAGTTATTATTTTTATGAAATACGAAATTAAGAAGCTTGCATCTCAAATCTGCAGTTTTCTATTAAAAAACACAGAACTTGCACATTTTTCACCACAAAAGCATGTAATGTAACAGACAAAGATAGGTTCTTTTGCTTTTATCATTAAGACATGTGGGGGGCACATTTCATGCTCCAGCAGTCTTTCAGCACACACATTTCATGAAAGCGTAAGGTTATTATGTTCCTGAACCGTACAAAGCTAACATCACAAAAAGCGCAATGCCCATCCCTAATACTTCCCTGCCTGCAGCTAGACATGCTCCACTAAATTGATAACAAGGCAAGATCCACATACTGTATAAAGCTATAAGCACAATAACAATTTCCAGAAAACCTTATGCTTCTTACCAACCTAATAGGATTCAACTAACAAAAAAATAAAGCACTCCACCACCAGACAAAAGGCTTGGACACAAACAAACTTTGAGGTGATTAGTTGTTCAGCTCACACTGTTCCATGAGGTAAAGTATAGCAAATACATACATATACTTGGTAGAAAACTGTCCAATCCTTACTTCTAACAACCAAAAAAAAATTTTATAAAAAAATAAAACTACAGTACAATTGCAAACACACTTGAACTTAATGATGCAAAATCCTATGGTAACACGCCTACCTAACAAACAATGAATCATTAACTACCGTATTCATTTTGAAAAAAAAAAATTATCAAGGGGAAGTTTTTGTTTCAATCTCTAATAAACAAGAAAAGCAATGCAGCTGCAGCATGCGAACACTTACATGGATTCCCTTTCCTTCATGCGCAGGCTCGGCCTCATTACTCACCCCCTTGCCCAGGCCCAGCGGTTGGATGGCCAAATATCCAGGTGGCAAAGTAGCAGCCACAGGCAAAATTTGCTCTTCAACACATATTCTTAAAAAAGCAACAACATATACTCAATTACAAAAAAAAATATCTTAAAAAAGATTAATTAATGATCTATTATTATTTTTCTTCATCTTACCTGCCCTTGTGCAGAAGTGGGATCCAAGAATAGCCCACACAGGTTTCAACACTCACATCCTTCTTTTTTGTGGTATCACATGATATGTGGTAGAATGTAAACAAGAGGTGATGTCTAGTTGTGACTTGAATGGGCAGTCGAACTTTGACTTCATCGCACCATGTTGGAGTAGTATTGTGATGTACAATAGAGCAACAACTGTGTGTTACTAATAGTGGACCTCCAGGTGGTCCATAAATTGACTGAAAAATTCGTGTCCATAGTCAAAAGAAGTGCTATCAAGTTTGTAGGTGACAATGAAAACCATGAGCGATACTAACACAAAGAGGCTTTGAATCTTCATCATCTCCATCTCTGAGCTCAATGAGACATGCAATATTGCGAGCCCTAGCAAACATCTTCTGATTGTCAAAATTCAAACTTTGAGGATACACATACAGATGACTGATAAAAGATGTATATGGGTTTACTTCGTGTTCCGGAACAGTATCCTCCAATTCACAAACCTCTCTGGTGCATTCACTGACGGGTGGAATTGGGAATGGTTTTAAAGACATTAAATTGGTTGTAAGACAATCTGAAAAATTGCAGAAATGTTATACAAGAACCACTAAATATGAGAATGAAAACAATATTGTCAAAGAAATCTAGACTGGTACTTACTTGCAGGCATTTCTTGAAGTGGTGTGATATGAATTTTTAATGAGCCTGGAATTGCAGTCAGCCGCCCCATCTTGTCTGGTCTGTGAAAGATAAATGGACAAAGTAAGTCACCAATCTTAAACAAATGAGGGTGTAGAATTGTGTGAAATACATTGAAGACATGAAACTTACTTGCGGAAATCAGCAAGGATTTTGATGAGATCATCATCCCTGAGACGGTTCCCTTCCTGCCTATAAATTACTGGAAATTCTGACGATGTATCCAACTCATTACTGAACATGCGGAACAGTGGTTTCGCAGACCATGCAAATGGCATCCGATATTTCCCCAACCTACAAATAATCATTTGAAAAACAAGGACATTGTGACTTTGAGAATTGTTCTATTTGATGGCAGATATAAAAGAACAAATATTAAACACCTCGTCATACCTCTGACTGCATGCTTTGACTTGTTTATGGACTTTCAGGCCCAACTTTGGATCTTTAGTACATTTTACATAAGGCTCTGATGTTGGGCAAATACCACCTTGTAGTACCTTATCAATCCTCAGTACAAGATAGATCTCAGGATGTGGATTACTCACATTAAACAATGCCTGAGTTTCAAAAATTCACATTGTATAAAATGAGCAAAAAAAAACAAGCTTCTCATAAAATAATTGTGTTGATAAAGTACCTGCTTCGGAAACTGAATCCAATCAGGAGACACTTGCTCTAGCTCAGGGGAGATGGGCTCAGTAGGTGTGCATGCTTCACCATTGGTGCAGCTTTCATCATTATCTTGAGTGCTGAAGAAAATACTGCGTATTTTATCATCATTGATGTCAAAGTGATAGTTTTCAGAAAGTTTGCGGCCTGCTCGCACATCAAAAAGAGCTAAAGAAGTGAAATACGGCTCAACCTGAAACAAAAAGTTTTAATTCTCAATATTATTACAGTATGTCAAAATTGCAAAATCAAGGTTAACCTATTTGACATACTTGGCCAAACACTTCGTTCTCTCCTTCAAGAGGAGCTTGTAACCTGAATTTCACTTCCTCACATTTGACCAAAAAACGAAGGCCAAATTTTTCCTTGTATGGTTCAACGGAGCTCTCAGTGGATCCAACGCCTCCTTGTTTGACATGCTGAAATAATAAAACCCATTTTAAACTTGTCACATTTGTTAGAATTTTAATTTAAAAATGAAGCTTGACACTCTACCGGCATCTGAGGATATACACTGAAAAGTCTGCGTCGGTTCTCCTTTCTTGCATGGGCAATGGACATGTCTGTTTCTCGAGAGTACTTCATAAGTTGCGGGTTCATGCTTTGCTCCAATCCTTTCAACGTTCCATAGATAGCTAGTTGAGCTGGAGATGGAGGGGGAGTTGCACTCGCTGAGGAAACAGAATCATCAGCATAATAAGAAAAAATTCTCTTTTTTGATACGGAACGGGAAAAAGCATTCGTTCCTGATACCTCTCTCTAGCGATCCATGAGGCTTTTCTTCTTGTTGACGATTTATTTGCAAGACCTGCTGTAATTTATTCAGCCAATCTTGCAGCTCATGCTCTGATTCTGCAGCAAGGCAGTATGATTTGTGGCCGGAGGGCATTCGTAATTCCATGCAATAACGACCTCTTTTGGGGCTCTGGAATTTGGAGATTAAAGTTTAACCCCATCAAGTACAGACATAAATTTTCAGAGTAGAAACAATGCTACTTACTCGTACAACTTCTGTGCAAAAATCCATGACAATTGTTGCTTTTGCTTCCCCTTTCTTTTCATCTTTGTGTAATTCAAGAATGTAAGTTCCATCTACTTCACGTCTGTAATAGAGAAACAAAAATTAAGTACTGTTCACATTAAAGGAATTCAGCTTTGTAGATTGTGCAATACCTCAGGTAACAATAACGCCGCTTGAAGGATTTGGAAGCAATGTTGGCGAATATGCGGTCAGTTCCAACCTGTGGTCCTTTCAAAAGATATCCTTGTTTAGTGATGCCCTCAGAGATTTTATTAACAACTCCCTGAAAGCAAAAGTAAAGAATTTCATAATCTCTTGCTGTGAATTTGAACAGGTAGCATTGTTCGATATGTATACACTCACTTCATCAACCTGGTCAGCATCAGTGTCTACCTCATAGACTTCATCCTTCAACTCATCCACTTTAGGTGCCCTGAAATTGTAAAATTGTAAATACATTTGTAAATAAATAAAAATTATTTTTTTCTTGTGATGAATTTTTAAAGCAACTTTAAACTTACTTTGGCAATTCCAAATAAGTGCCAGAGTATGCACTATATTTGTAATGGACTAAGTGCCAGTTACTAGTATAGCTCTTAAGACACTCTTTAGTAAGCAAGTTTTCTTTGCATTCTGTATTGGGTAATACTTGCTGGGACACAGTGCGATACTTTCTGGGAAGAACAACTTGCTGCAAGGTTTAGACAACAATTAGAAATAATGTCAAGAGTTAAATGTTAAACCATTTATGCTGAAACTAGCACATACCGACACATCATCAGATGGATAAACCAGAAGCTCTCTGTGAGGATCATTTTGAAGAAGAGTCTTGTTCTTGGAAATATAATCTTCGAAGTTGATTGGGTCTGCCATGTGCAGCTGGTTCTGAAATTCGGAGTAGAAGTATGACACGTTAGTAAAGGGCAGTACGAGAATATATCTTTTTCGAAAAGGCATAAATTCATAGACTGTGACTGGCAATACTCGTAAATATTTTGAATGGAATATGAATAGAACAGGACAACAGGCTAAACAACAAGACAAAAACACACAAACCATGACTTCATGAAACTCAAGGTTTGTTTACATACAAGGTCAGGCAAAGCAGACAGGAAATAGTGTGTTTCGGTCCATCCTGACATACTTCTCAGTAAGGGCACTTCTTAACCCTACTTTTAACTGAACATTCGAGCAAATGATACAAACAGGAAAACATTACTTAAATTACTTGTAATAAATTACCTGCACGGTACTTTCTCTCACCACCTGTGACACAGTTTCTCTGAGCTGGGCAGCCATACCCGGCTTACCCAGGCCACGGGTAAACTTCCGTTCTGTCATTTCGACTAAATAGATTTCTTTAAATAAAAGGTACGAGGAAGACGAGCAACATCACAATTTCTACAGGTACTCCCCAAAGTACATGATAGGACAGACATCAACAACATCTTCCTTCCCAATCAACAATAGTAAAAACAAAAACATGAACAGGAGCGAGATATCGAATATTATTACTTCACTTCTTCTTCTTTCGCTTGGTCGATAAATCTCTCTCTGCTATGAGCTATACAGTCGCGCATTTGGGGCTAAATTCAAATCTCATCGGCACGCAATTGACGCAACAATAATTTTTCTGGGCAAGTTTTGTGTGATAGTTCGTGTGCCTGTTCGCGTGCTTCCGTCCAGCGGCTTGGGAATATCGAATGTTCAGTCGTCGCCCGCCCCCCTCCCCCTTTCCCTCTATGAGGACTTCCCTTCCGTGCGCGCGTCCGGCTAACTTCTGATTGACAATTCTTCTACTTTTCATAAATTGAAAACAACACGTATAGTTTCGTAAAAATTAATTTATTGTTCATTGACATACATGGTAAGTATTTTTCAATACTCCAGCCAGGTAATTTCATAAAAAGAAACAGCATGCATTGCATGATAAACAATGACACATAAACTGCAATTTGGCTGTAACATATTTAACAAGAAACGTGGACACAAAAATTTAGCATCTTCTTTTTATTTACAGTTCAATACCATCAGCCCCCACAGATTATAATAAAATTAAAAGAATGAAGGCACAATAAGAATTTTCAAACACAAATTACAAATTGCATCATATTGCAGGGCTCCTAGAACGACAACAAATTACTCCAATGGCACCTCTTACAATACAATTAAAATATTGTCTTTACAAGTACTTAAAGAATCTATTATTTACATAATAATATGTTCATTCAAATCGATATGGTAGATTTGATTTATTTAAATTCAACATTTCCTCCATCATTATCTTTGTGCATCAAACCTTTTCTCACATGCAACTTTGAGCGTAGAAGGACTCGCTCTAGGAAGACTTTGCATGACCTTGTAAGAAAGGGGCTCTAACAAAACCATAAAATATCCAGCAGACCACAGAAGGCTAAAAAGTCTGACAATAAACCAGATAAGAATAACAGCCAACAACAGTAGATGGAAAAACACTCGAGTATGTATCTCATTGCATTGCAGAGAGTAATTGTATTTTAAAAAATCTTAACTACCTAGTTATGTGATATGATTTTCATATATGAATAATTGACATCACATAAGAGTTATTTCAGCTTTTTTGTGCATTTTGCGGCGCACATACTTTGGCCCGGGCAAGAGAGTGTCAGTCACCTCTTTGACCCTTGCACAGTTAGGCAAAGCAATAGGAACAAGACTTGATCTCTTGAAGACTTATGTACTTTTCAGAATTCAGTCTCTGCTAATCTAAACAACGCACAGTCAAAATTTGGCCACGAAGAAAGAATCTTTTCAAGGGGTTTCCTTTGGTCTTTCTCATTTGAAGAACCGTTGGACCGTACGTTACTGTGCGCACCTGTTTTGATAAAAAGCACTTTTTGGCAACAAAATATCAACAATTTGGCAATTACACTGGAAGAACAATTTAGGCTAGAGGAAATTGTTAAACCCTTTCCAATGAGGAAGACACTTGGGTGTGTTTGGGTGGGGCGGGCGCGGACCGCGGCGATGGAGGTCCTGGTCCTCTCGGTCCTCTCGGTCCGGGCCTCCGTCAGAGAGGCGGCCCGCGTCCCCCCAAATGCCGTCGCTATACGTCTATCTGGAAGGCGGCGGCGGGGTCGCGGATGCCGTCCCGGGCGGCCCTGGAGGGCACGGAGGACCGCGACGACCGCCGCTTCGGCTCCACGTCCTTCTCCGTCTCCGACAAGTCCCTCGAGTGCGAGTGCGATCTGGAGTCGGAGAACCGCGACGGCGGCTGGATCCGGTCGCTGAAACTGTGACATCGGCCGGAACTGTCAACCCACACAGGACAGGGCAAGGCGTGAATTGTAGTCGGTTGCCTCGGGGCACAGTGGTGCGTCCTACCTGAAGGTGGTTTCCTCCGTGTGGCTGGAGTAGCCCGAGCTGGAGCGCACGTGGCGCTTGCCCGACAGCTGCCCCTTGCTCTTGGACTTGCGTGGCTGGAACTGCTTGCCCTGCTTGCGAGGGTCCACGGGCGAAGTCTCCGACGAGCTGGTGCTCTCCTTGCCTGCGGCAGAGGGCTGCATTCAGAGGGAGCTCGCCTGGCCGCCTGGCAGGTGCGAGAGGGGCAGAGAGGTACTCACAGGGCACGACGGAGCCGCGGGGCGTCCTGGCGCCGCGGGGGACGCGGTGCCGGAAGCTGGCCATCTCCTGCTGCTGGCTGCTGCCCTCCGTGTCGCTGCCCAGCGTGTCGTACTCGGAGATGGGCAGGTGCAGCGACAGGATCTTCTTCACCTCCGAGTCCGTGCTGCCCAGGTTGTCCGACTCTGGCACATGGCAAGCAAGGCACAGGATCAAATACCGGCCGCCGGGCGGTCGTCGCGACGTCGCGTCGCGTCGCGTCGTCTCGCTCGCGCGGCGATTCGCTTTCCATTTAAATGGAAACGTCAAGTCGCAAACCGGTGGCAGGCAGGGCGGCCCGGCCAGGCGCCGACCGGGCCGCGCGCCCCATGGCCCGTACCGCCTCGTGATAATCGATCTAATGGCCGACTCACCTTGGCTCTCGGAGTGCGGGTCACGTAGCTTGCTCTTTTTCCGCCGGACTTTAGTGTACTCGGGCTCCTTCTGCTGGAACGGGAAGGAAAGGGGCTTTGAGTGGGCCGGGGCGCGACAAGGACTGGAAGGAGGACAAGAAGGACATCGCTCACATGTCTGAGTTTGTAGGTGTCCGTGCCGTCGTGGTACACAAAGGAGCCCCTGACGGAGTGGTACGGCCCCGAGTAGATGTTGCCCGAGAAGGAGCACGTCGAGCCCGCGTCGCTGTACGTCTTGGAGGTGGGGCCCGTCGCGTTCAGCTGGAAGGTGGCGTACGGGCAGATGTCCTTGATGTAGTCTGCGAACAGCCGAGAAGGAACCTCTTGCAATGGCCGAGAGGGCACACAGCCAGAACCCAAGCTTGAAACCCCCGTCTGGTATAGCCTATCTACCGACCTGAGGACTCGACAGTCTTGTAGGTACTGGTCTCGGAGTACTTGGGCGCGGGCAGCGCGAGGTAGTGCTGGTCCCTGTTCTGCTGGTTCTGCAGCTGCGCCAGGCTGGGCGACTCCCCCACGGGGCCGTGGCCGGGGCCGTACCCGGGGCCGCGGCGCAGCGGGGCGAGCGGGCCGCCCAGCACCCGCGAGGACTGCTCGTGCTGCAAGGCGCGCGCCTGCAGCTCTGCGGCGGCAACAAGGAGTCAGTGACGGTGGCCGCGGCCTCCCCTCCCCTCCCACCTCGTCGCCCTTACTTCGCTTGCCGATGCGCATCCCCGCGTAGCCCAGCACCACCACGGTGGCCGTGCACAGCACCACGGGCAGCATCACCCGCAAGTTGAAGGCGTAGCCGGCGGGGTCGTCCGTCGGCGAGGGGTAGTCCTCGTCGGGCGGCAGCGGGATCGGGGCTGCGAAGGACGAACAGTGAGCGGGCTTTGCGTCGCCAAAGACCGGGACTCGAACCCGCGAACTCCACTCACCGCCGGCCAGCGACAGGGTGGTGAAGTTGTAGACGGCCCCGACGGAGCCGGCGCTGTTGTGCGCCGTGACGCGCAGTTGGTAGCGCGAGCCGGGCGTGAGGTCGGCCACGGAGCGCGCGCGCTCGGCGGGCAGCACGTGGTTGGAGACGAGGCGCCAGGGGTCGTCCTCCGCCTCGCGGTACTCCACGATCAGGTACTGGATGGGGCAGCCGCCGTCCGCCCACGCGTCCAGCCACAGCGTCACCACCGTCGAGTTGACCGTCAGCAGCGCGGCCTGGCTCGGCGTCACGGGCACTGGAAGAAAAAAAAAGATGAAAAGTCGGAACGCGTTTGCCGGGATTTGAACCGGCAACGGGTCACTGACCTGATCCGCGCGTGGCGGTGTGCACGATGTCGCAGGGCAGCCCCGTGCCGATGCGGTTGTAGGCCGTCATGTACAGCTGGTACCGGTTGCCGCACAGCAAGTTGCGCAGCACGAAGCTGTCGATCTTGGACTCCAGCTGCAGCTCCTCCCAGTCGCCGTGATCGCGCTTGTAGTTGATGACGTAGCCTGGGAAGGGAAGGGCGCATTGGATTAGCCCCGAACACTCCTTAAGTGGCAAAAAAGGACAATGAATAATTACCCAGGACAGGGACCCCGGGTTCGCTGTCCGCCCAGTGCAGGTGCAGGCTGTCGGCGTCGGACGTCTGGATGTACAGTGTCGGCGGCCCTGGAGGGACTGCAAAAAACGCCCCCAACAGTGTTAACCATCGGCAAAAAAGAGGAAGAAATTGCAAGTGTCGTCCGGCTACTTACCTCTCACGACAAGGGAGTAAGTGATCTCGTCCTTGCCGTGGGGGTTCTCCACGGCGCAGCTGTAGTTGCCCTGGTCCAAGTGCTGCACATCCTTCACCTGCAGGCCGCTCCCGTTCACCTGGGGCACCAATTAATTCGCCTCGTTATTTTGGTCCCAGCGAGAAAGAAATTTACTGCCGCAGCCCGGCGCTTCGCGGAGCGCCCGACGAAGACCGGGTAGGCAACCGGCCGCAGTGGCGACACCCGCGCGCGGCGGGCTTGCCTACTGCCCGGGCGCTCCCCACCTCTCCCGCCAGGCCGCGCCTGCGGCTGGCAGGCGGGTACTGCTGCGGTACTGCTGCGGCGGAGCGCGCCGTGTGTCTCTGTCTCTGGCCGGCCTACCTGAATCCTGGTGACGGCCGGGTCCAGCGGCCTGCCGTTGAACCTCCAGGACACGGTGGGCGCGGGGGAGCCGACGTGCGAGCAGGCCAGGGACACGTTGCGCTTCCAGGGCGAGATGAGCGTCCTGGAGAAGGACGCGATGCGGGCCGGCACTGCGAGCAAGGGACCGGGTTCAAGTACTCGTGACACCATGTTTATTTTGAGGTGTCCTTGAGGTGCGCCTACCTCTGCCGTTGGGCTTGACGGTCGCCGCCTTGCTGCGCTCGCCCTCGCCGACGCGCGTGCTCGCCGTCACCCAGAACCTGTACGTGGAGCTGGGCGACAGGCGCTGCACCTCGTGGGTCTCGGTGGCGGCGCCGAGCTGCGTGGAGTGCGTCGTGCTCTCCTTGCCGTCGTCGCGGGTCGCGTTCCAGTAGAAGTTGTAGCCCATGAGGACGCCGTTGAGGCGGCTCGGCGGCAGCCAGGCCACCAGCACCGTGTTGGGGGACGCCGTCAACGCCTTGATGTCTGCCGGCGCGGACGGTACTGAAAAAGACAAACGTCTCAAACACCGCCACGACGTGCAGAAGGGAAAACAAGAGACTTTTTTTGTCCTCACCGTCCTCGTCCGTTCGGCAGAAGATGGGCGACGTACGCACGCCGTCGCCGGAGCCCGTGAAAGCCAGCACCACGATGCTGTAGTTGGTGAAGCTGAGCAGGCCCAGCAGCGTGGTGGACGTCGACGAGGTCACCTTCACGTCGGGGCTGTCCTTGTCTGTAAGATAAACCAACAGGACGTTAGGCAGGGAGATGTGCGTTTCCTCTAACCCCTTTGGCAGACGTTGATGGCACTCACCGTACCACTCCTCCGTGGGCTGGAAGAGCACCTTGAAGCCCTGGATCTCCCCGTTGCGGCCCTCCTCCGGCGGGGGCTGCCAGTTCACTTGGAGCTCCTGCACCGACGTCGGCCTGCAGTTGAGGCTCTCCGGTGGCATCGACGGCACTGGAAGGAGACAGCGTTTTAGTTTTATATCAAAAAGTTGAAAAATGAGGGAGAAAAGCGATGAAATCTTACCGTCCTCCATGGTGCGGACAGTGACTGGTTCCGATGTCGGCCCCGCCCCTCTGCTGTTGTACGCCTGCACTATCACGTTGTACGCGGTGAACCTAAACCAAAGGCGTGTCAATGGAAACAGAAGTCCAATTTCTGGAAAGTTGTTTTAGTCTTGAGTACTGACTTGGCCAGCCCGATGAGCGACGCCTCCCCGCCGAACTGGGAGCCCACCTCCACGGTCTTGAGCATGTACTGGTCGCGGGTGGGCCGGTCCGTGGCCGTGGACGCCATGCCGGTCACTTGCGTGTAGCCGACGTAGTAGCCGTGCAGCGAGCCGTGCCAGAGTTCCCTGGGCGGCGGCTCCCATGTCACCACCAGCTCGGTGCTGGAGCGCGCCTCGGCCCGCACGGCCTGTGGCGGCCCGCTGGGCGCTGCGAGGGAGAAGGGAAAAGCCAACAGGGGTCAAACACGCTCAAATAAAAGCCACGTAAATAATGTGGGCTTTGAGCCCCGGGCGTGCCGGCGTACCCTCCTCCTGTGTGGTGACCTGGATGGCCTCGGACGGCTCGCTCAGGCCCAGGCGGTTCTCGGCCAGGATGCGGACGTGGTACGACGCGGCGGGGCTGAGCCCTCCCAGCGTGGCGCTTGCCTGCGTCCCGGACACCGTCGTGCGCATGGGGCTCGTCGGCCAGGGTTCTGGAAAACGGAACACACGTTCGAGTCGAGGACAAAACGTCGCGGCCAGAGTCGCGGCGCTCTAACGGCCTACCTGAGACCAGCTTGTACTGCAGGATGTAGGCGGAGATGGGCGAGTTGCCGGAGTACGGCGGCGGCCATGCCAGCTGCACGCTGCGGCTCTGCTGCTCCGTCACGCGCACGTTCTGCGGCATCTCGGGCACCTCTGCCAGGACAAATCATCAGTTTGCAGGGTGCAAATGCCAGTGTTACTTAATTGCTCGATTGCAAGTTTATCTTGTTACCCTGCACCACCAGCTGGATGGTCATCTCGTCCTGGCCGTACGCGTTGGTCGCGCTGCAGGTGAAGGTGGCCGAGTCGTGCCTCGTGGTGCGCTCGATGGTCAGCTCTGACACCTGGCCGCCGTGGCCGTCCATCGGGTGTTCCCTCAGGGTCAGCCTGTCACACGCACAAGCCACTTCAGAACACTGGAGAGAGGACCGCTGCTCCACGCCACGCCACGCCACCGTCACCACGGGTTCCAGGGGACACTCCGACATGGTTCGGCGCTCGGCGAGGCACGGCGGCACGGCGGCACGGCAAAAGGGCTAGGGTTGCCTGTGGTTCCCGCCAGGATCCAAAGAGTAAGAGGGCGGCTGGGCAGGGCCAGGCAGGGCTCAGCGTGGCGGTACGGGACGGTACGGTGCGGCGCGGGGCGGCTGGGGGCGACCGGCTTAGGTTACACACACTTGGGATGGAGAGGGGAGGCCGTCAACCCCTGTCACCCCTCACCCCACCGTAAGGCCAGTGCCGCGACGCGCGCTTATGTAGTGTACAGTACACTCTCGCAGTCTCGCACACACGGAGCCCCTACATCATGGCCCTGCCCCCTCCCCTCCCCCCCTCCCCGCCACTCCGCACTCTACCTGTCCCCGGCCTGCTCGAACCTTACGGGCCGTGAGTGTGTGCACGCGTCTGTGTGCGCAGTGTACGCAGTGTACGGAACACACGTATGCCCAACTCGGAACCAACATCATCGTCCATTCCCCCACCCCCTCACCTGTGGTCCGTGTCCACGGCCAGGCGCTGGCCGGCCTGACGCCATTGGATGTCGATCGGCGTGTCCCCCGTGGAGGCGCACTGCAGGCGCGCCGCCTCCCCCTTGGCCACCTCCACCTGCACCTGGCGCCACTTGCTGGCGAAATGCGCCGGCGCTGGAACGGAAATTGCGACGCGGTGTGTAAACACGGTGCGTCGGGTCGCTCCACCTCGCTCCGCCTCCGGCCGACAGTGTGCCGAGGGTTAGCGCGGCTGCGCGGCACCGCGTTCAAGTTTAAAAAAAAAAAAATACTGGGTTTTGTTCGAGCCGGTCTGACCTACCGTTGATCTTGAGGAACACGACCTTGCTGACGTCGGAGCCGACCGAGTTGCCCGCCTCGCACATGTAGTGGCCCTCGCTCTCCTTGGAGATGCGCACGAAGTGCAGCGTGCCGTTGGGCATCAGGTTGACGTGGTGGTCGAAGAGCGCCAGGTCGCGGTACTCGCCGGGCAGCGAACCCACCGCCTTCTTCCACAGCACGGAGGGCGGCGGCGACCCCTCGGCCGAACAGTGCAGCCACACGTCCTGGCCCGCCGACGCGGACGTGTCGGAGGGCTCCACCAGCCAACGGGGCGGCACTGCGAAGGCGAGAGTCGGGGTTCAAATTTAATACCTCGGCTCCCAGTTTCAGTTTTCCAATTTGTCGATATTCTCCGGCCGGCGCTGCCAGCGGCAGCCCGCAGCGGGGCGGGCGTTGCCCAGGGCGTTGCTTACCGTTGACGATGAGCGGCACGGTGAAGCGGTCGGGGCCGGCCACGTTGCTGGCGACGCACGTGTAGTTGGCGGAGTGCTTGGCGGCCACGCGCTCGATGACGAGCACGGAGGAGAACTCGTCGTGGCGCCGCGTGTAGGCGCCGTCCTGGGCCTGCATCCGCAGCGGCCGCCCATCGCGCTCCCAGCGGAAGCTCACGGGCTGGTCGCCCTCCAGGATCTGGCAGCCGATGGCCGCGCGCATGCCCTCGCTCAGGTTCAGCGGCAGGATGGGCATGATCCGCGGCGGGACTGCACAGAGGGAAGAAAGAAACAATCAAACGTTTTGCTCTCGGAAAGTTTGCCGCTAGCGGCGGGGGAGGGGAACTCACTCTGCACGGACACCTCGACGTCCCTGCGGGCGGTGTGCTTCTGGCGGTTGACGGCCTGGCAGGTGTACGTGCCCTGGTCCTCGCTCTGCCGGGCCTGCTGGATGACCAGCGTGCCGTTGCCGAACACCTTTTGGCGCCGCGTCACCGGCAGCATGGCGCCGTCGTGCTCCCACGTGATGGTCTCGATGGGGTAGCCCGCCGCGGGGCACTTGATGACCAGGTCCTTGCCGGCCACCGCCGTGATCCTGGGCATCTCGCGGATGTACGGCTTGCCGTACACGTTGACGCGCGCCGAGTGCGCCTTGAAGCCCACCGAGTTCCTCGCGGTGCACGTGTACTCGCCGCCGTCCTCCTCGCGCACCCCCGTGATGTTGACGTGGCTGATGACGTCGTCGTGGATGGTGACGTACTGGCCCACCAGGAAGCGCTGGCTCTCCGGCAGCGGGAAGCCGTCCAGCGTCCACGAGAACTGCGGCGGCGGGATGCCCACGGCCATGCACTTGAGGGACACGGCGGGGCCGGGCTGCAGCGTCTGCTCCGAGAACGAGTACACCAGCTCGGGCACCGCGTCTGCAAGGGTAACAAACCTCGTTCCAAACTCGTCGCGGAAAAACAACACAGAGAGAAACAATGACAAACAATTTCACGGCAACTTGAATGCGTCAGCGCCAGTCGTCGGTCTTTTATCATCCGCCGCCTCGGCGTCCGGGCCGACCCGACCCGACCCGACCCGCCCCGACCCGCCCGGCCGGATGCAGATTCTGTTATAAGACCGAACTCCCCCTTCGCCTGATTTATTATTTATTCCGTCCCATGTTTCGTGACTTATATGTGAAGTTGTACCGGGCTGCAGACGGCGGCGGCGGCGACGCGCCGGTCGGTGTCCTGGCCGTGCCGCGCCGCGCCGCGCCGCGCAAGTCGCAAGTCACAGCACAGTGGCGCGCGCACCGAGGCAAGGAGAGCAGCGCCGATCACGAAGTTGCTTCCGAGCGACTGGAGCCAACTCTCTACTCGCTGAGCGAGACGTCGCCGAGGACGTCGCGGACACGCGCGACGCGGGGGACGCGGCACTAGGCGAGGCTGTGCTAGACTGATTCCGAACAGCGCTGCGTCGCTCTGTGTCTCTCTCGAACCTGTACGGAACGCCCCATGCGTGCAAGAGAGACAGAGCTGTTGGGAATGGCTGTGGCGCTGGCGCTGGCTGGCGCTGCACTGGCGGGAGGCCGCGAGGCGGAAACACACTTCCGATACCCAACTCGCGCTGGGGCTGCTTCGCTGCTTCGCTGCTTGGAGGGGTGGAGGGAGACACCAAAGGACGACGCAGCACCATGTTGGCCGCTGTGTTTGTGCACACCGCGGTGCGCGCGCCAGCGTCTCCGCCACCCACATTTATTTTGCTGACGACGAGGTTCAAACGCCTTCAGTCCCAGTACACTCACCTCCCAGCTTGAGCTCCGAGGTGCCCTGCGCCATGTCGTGGTCGTTGCTGGCGACGCACTGGTACATGCCGCGGTCCTCCTTGTTGACGGCGCTGATCTTGAGGCGGCTCACCCTGGGCCCGATGACGGCGCCGGGGCCGACGGCCGCCTCCACGGGCGGCGTGAAGATGGAGACGCGCGGGCCGGCCTGCACGGGCACGGCGTCGCGCAGCCACTTGACGTCGTACACGGGCGTGCCGGCCAGGCTGCACTCCAGAGTCGCCTCGGACCCCGTCGACACCTCCTGCCAGGGCGGTGACACGTGCACCGTCAGCGGCGCTGCAAAAACATAAAACCAGTCAGCAAATTATTGTTGTCATTTCTCACAGACTGGGCGAGGAAGTCGTGGAGCGCGACTTGCCTGTGACCTGCAGCGTGATGACGGTGTAGTCCTCGGCCGCGCTGTTGGCCACGCCGCACACGTACATGCCCGTGTCCATGAGGCGGGCCTTCTTGAGGCGCATGGCGCCCGCCAGGATGTTGACGCGGTCGTCGGGCTGCACCAGCTCCATCACCGACAGGTTCTTGGGCGGCTTGCCCGGCTCCTTCTCGCGGGTCCACCTGTTGCAAAGGGCAACGCCGCGTCAAACCTCCCCGCCCTACACCGCGAGGGCCGCGAGCTGCTTAGCGGCTCATGCAAAAACCAAGCGGGCAAAAACGAGTGCGCGGCTGCGCGCCCCCCGGTGGGACTCGAACCCGCGCCGCGGCCTTTTGGCCTTCGCGTGGCGTAGCGCTTGCGCACTTACTTGGACGTGGGCACGGGGTGTCCCTGGGCGAGGCACGGCAGTACCACCTCCTCCCCCACTTTGCCGACGAGTCTCTGGTGTTTTTCCACGTTGAGGCGGAGCTGCGCGCTACCCTTCGGCTCTGCAAACGACACAAAATGAAAGAAAAACCTCGGGGAAGGACGACGCTCATCTCGGGGATTCGAACCCACGGCTCACCTGTGACAATGATCCTGCCGGGCACGCGGTTGGACCTGGTCTGGCCCGTGAGCCGGTGCAGCGTGCGGCAGGTGTACTCCCGGTGCCGGTCCGCCATGGTCACGTCCTGGATGTAGAGGTCCCCGTTGGCCATGACGACGTGCTTGCCCCCTGCAACGCGCACCCCGCACACTCATTCCATCTCTGTTCAAAGCTCGGCAGGCCCCAAAAAACACGCCGCCATCGAACTTACCGACGTCGGAGCTCGGGTACAGGCTGACCTGGTCCACCTCCCACGACGTGACCATGATGTACTCGGCGACGTAGGGCGGCACCTGGCACTTGAGCGTGGCCGTGTTGCCGGCCACCACGTGCTCGTCGTAGACCTGCACGTCGTAGTCCTGCTTCACCACTGCAACAGCAACGAGGCACGGGCGGAGCATTAGCGCCTCAAAAGTCCCCAACAAACCTCGCGCGTTGCCGCGTTGCCGCGTTGCCGCTTTTTAATTCTCTTTGGCCGCCCCTGGAGGATCCTGTGGCCCCTGGCTCCGCGCGAGCTCCCCCAGCACCGCCAGCCCCCCCCCCCCCCCCTCCGGTAATCCGACCGGAATTGTCGGCCATTTTCGCAGAGCCCCAGTCAAGTTCTAAGAGCGCCTTGCGCCGTCCTTCAAAACAGCAGCCCGGTAGTCTGAGCCACTCTGCGCAGGCAGGCGCTGAGACGCTCAGACGCGCATCTTGCTCCAAGACAAGTAGTGCCCGGCGCCGCGGGCGGGGCGCGGCGGGGCGGGGCGACCGCGTGATTGGCTGACCGACTTGGTCGCTCCAGTTCCAGGGAATAAACCCCCGCGGTCTCCGCTTGCTCTGCTCGCTCCGCTTGATTACAGAGGGGCAGCCACCGGGGGGCCTGCGGGGCCTGCGGGGCGCGGGGCCTGCGGGGCTCCAGCGGCCAGGGCAGGCAGGGCAAGCCTTGTCTCTTTGCTTTCGGTCGGCGGGCGGGCCGGCCGGGCCGCGCTCAGGCCAACAAGTGTATCATCGCCGAAAGAGAATAAAAAAGAGAAAGAGGGCGGAAAGAACAAGGTGCGAATCTCACTCGCAGGGCGACTTGAAAGAGCGGCGGGAAGGACAAAGGCGGGAGCGCGAAATTTTTAAATTCTTTTCTTCTTTTTTTTTCTGTCGCGGCAAAGTGACAAAGTGACGTGGCGCGGCGTTATGACGCGAATGGCGGGGGTGTCCTCGCGAGGTTCCCTCGGAATGCGCTGCGGGTGCGAGCGGGACGAACTGCACAAGAAAGGCGGAGGCGTGCGAGGAGCGGCCTCCAGGTGGGGCGCGGTCGGACGTGCAAAACAGCCCAAAACGGCCAATGAGTCCATAAGCGGTGGGGCGGGGCGGGCGGGGCGGCGGGCGGGCGGGCGGGGCGGGCGGGGCGACGCGGCCAGCCCTTACCGCCAACTTCTTGCGGCGTGTCCTTCGTCCTCCCAAGTTCCCTTATGCAAACTATGGCAGGTTTGCCTGCCCTAATGAGGCACCTTCTGACCGAGCAGGCCGCTCCAGTGGAGGGCCAGCCAAGGCCCTGGCGGAGGGGCGGCCTGGAGCCTGCAGTCCGGTGGCTGGAGTCCAGCGTCGCCGCCAAAACCCGCGGCCCTGCGGCCCTGCGGCATGGCGCCGAGAAAGGGGCTGCAGGTGACTGCGTGAGCTGAGGCCGGGGCTCCGGGACCCTCGCCGTCATCCCCAGCTCGCGCCATGTCGCCACCATGTCCTCGGGCAGGGTTTATTGCGCAGTGCGAGAGGGTGCCCTATCAGAAAGGGTTCTGCACGGCGTCCCGGTAGGGCTCGATGGGGCTCGCCCGGCCCGGCAGGGCTCGATCAAGCAGCTCGGAGCCAATCCGCACGCTTTGAGTCCCCGAAGACTCGACCCTATCCCCTCTGCCCGCCCCTCTGCCCATCCCTCTGCCAAGTAGGCAAACCGCAATGCTTTGATAACAGTCCGTGCCTCCCCTCCCGGTGCGTGCGGTGGGAGCCAGCCGGCCCAGCCAGCCGGCCCGGCCAGCCGGCCCAGCCAGCCGGGTGGGCTGTCCCCTGTAAAGTAGGCCAGCATCATCACGGGGAAGGGCTGCCAACTCTCCGCCGTAAACTTTTTCCCTTTTATTTCCCCGTCGCGGTGACACTGGGGCGGGGCGGGGCGGGGCGCGGTGGCAGGCCCGGCCGCGCGGACTCGTGTGTGCGGATATCATCGAGAGAGGTGAGCGTATTCAGCGAGGGGGCCTCATTGTCTGGCAGCGTATTAATTTATAAAACCCCCGGCGTGTCGCCGTGCTGCCCCCGCGCCGCCCCCGCGCCGCCCCCGCGCCGCCCCCGCGCCGCCACGCCGCACACGCTGTCGCAACACGTTTCGGGGCCGGGGCGAGGCGGGGCGGGGCGGGGCGGGGCGGGGCGGGGCGGGCCCACATAACCTCCCCGTAGAGTGGAGTGACTGTCGCCAACTCAAACAAACTCGGCCCGGGACATGAATGCAATATTAATTCGCGTTCGCGTGGTGGACGCACAAACAAGCCGCAGCGCAGATTTACACTGGTATCGGGCGAGTGGGGGAAGGGGGCGGGGAGGAAAAGTGAAAAGTGCAAAGGCGCGCCGCCGCCGGGCTTGGCGGATAAATACGAGCGTGGCGCCGGGGGACTTTGCGGTACAGCCTCAGTCTATTACGGCCGCGTAAATAGATTTGTTGCAAGGATTTGAGGCGGCCGGCCGCGCCGCAGCCCGATGCCGTATGGCGATAACTCGTGCTCACGCTCGCTTAGCCTGGTCTCTGGTCTTTGGCGGACTGGCAGAAAAAGAGGGAAGGGGGAGGAGAAGCAGGGGCGTGAGAATTTATAGACACGACGATGGAGCTGTACTCGCGCCCAGCCAGGCCGCCGCCACCGCCTTGGCGCACCTTGGTGGTACGTGCGCCGTGCGCGGGGGTGGGGGTGGTCGTAGTGCTGGCGAGGCGGATGAGACGCCAGGAAGCCGCGCGCGGGGGGGGGGGGGGGGGCTGGCTGGCCCGCTTACCTCCGTGCACGTGCACGTCCTTGGAGATGATGGCGCCGACCTGGTTGGAGGCCCGGCACCGGTACTTGACGGCGTGGACGTCGGAGCGGTACAGCTCCATCGGGAAGGCCAGCATCTCGAGGGAGCCGTTGGGGTGCGTGTGTCGCAGGCCGGCGATGGGCAGCGCGGGAACGCCCTCCGGTGTGCCGGTCACGATCTGCCAAGTGATCCTGGGCGGCGGCGACCCGGTCGCCATGCAGTCCAGCCGCAGCCCCGACGAGTTGGAGAAGGCGGCGCGGTGCGGGGGCTCCACCGAGAAGACGGGGCCCTGCAGGTCTGCCGCGCTGCATGCTGCAAGCAACAACAACAGGGCTCAGCTCCAAACAACAACATAAAGCACCGAGAAAACAACAGCTCCGCAAGTCGACGGCCCTGCTCGCCCTGCTTGCCCTGCTGCGCGAGTTCGGTTGCTTACGACGCTGGTATCTATCTACTTAGCCGCTTCGCTGGCGCCGGTTCAATTCCGTGCGGCAGTATCGTGTTTTACTAGAGTTTCTACCTACACTGGCAGGCAGGCAGGCAGGCGGGGGCTGACCGCTGACAAAGGCAACCCCCTTCCCTTTTTCCTCCCCGCGTTTGGCACTGCTCCTGAGGCATGCAGAGCTGGCTCCGATAACAGCCTGCCCGCCAGCCCGCCTGCCAGTCCCCGGGGACGTGTTTCCCACGCGGTACATCGCCCGCCCTGGCGGCCCTGGCGCCCCGCTCACGGAGAGCAGTTCCTCCGGGACGCGCCTTCCCGACACAGGCAGTCAGGTTAATGGCATGGACTCCGTAGATCAGCAAACTTGTGCGGTAATTACACAAGTTCCATAACGTTCAGCGCCTTCAGCCTTGTTTGTCGAGGCGAGGTACGTTCAGGGCTTCGGGCTTTGCGTTTCGGGGAGCCGAACGAGCGCCCCGCCGAGCCGAGCCGAGCCGAGCTAGCGAGCGAGTGGCATTGCAACATTTCATCTCTCTTTTTCGGAGCCAGCAACAGCGCGCCCCCGACTGCCCGCCTGGCCTGTCCGCGCCGCTCAAAGTTGTGTCGCTGATTTGATTGCTTACGGCCTGCCCGCCAGCTGCCGGGAGGCCTTGTCGGCCTGCCCCGCCCCGCCCCGCCAACTTGAAATCCCTGTCAAGGCGACGACGACGTCCAGAGGCAGCCAGAGGCACCCAGAGGCTCGGACAGGCGCTGTCTGCCCTCGTCCCTGTTCCTTGTTGTTCCTCGTCATCGTAAAAAGCGCGCTGGGCCCCGGGGCCCGGCCGAGTCCATCGATTCGGCCTTCTTCTCCTCCTCGGCGACGCTGGAGCCGCTGCTGCTGCTCGCGATCCCCCAGCGCCTGTTCCTGTTGGCCTCGCCTCGCCGCTGCGCCAAAAGGCGGCTCGCGGGGCGGACGGACGGACGGACGGACGTCGGACGGACGAGCAGCAGCGGCCGTAAGGCGAATTGGAGTAGTGGAGGCACTCGCTCTGCTCGCTCCGTCCTCGTCGGTTGGTTAGCAATCTCCGTTACCCCCACCCCACCCCCCGGCCGTGTGGGGGCGGGGCGGGGCGGGGCGGCCCCACGCTGGCTAGCGAGCCCGGCTAGCCCCACCACAGGCCACAGTGGCCGGCCGGGGCTACTTTGCTTCCTCTGGCAGACGACACACAAGACGATACAACATCCGTCTCGGTTTCGCCGACCGAAAGGAAGGAAAAAGAAAAGGACTGGTCGCAGTGGGTGAAACACGAGGACGCGGAGGCAGCGCAGCCTGCAGGCTTGCAACGAGGGAGGAGTGGCGGGGAGTGGCGGGCCGCAGCGACGGGGTACACTGCAGGGCTGTTGCTGCAGCCTGCAGATTTGCCAGAGAGACAAAAAGAGAGAGAGAGAACACACGAAAGCGACCGCCAACTGCCGCCTCCGCTGCAGCGCGCCGCTGCCAATACAACGAAGCTTTGCTTTCGGTACAGTACGAGAAAGTCACCAAGTACCAACACAGAGCGCCCTTGGCGGGTCTGTATATTTTGTTTCATACAGAATTTTAATTACTATCTTTGGAATGAGCCCGCATACTACCCCGTATAAGGAAACCAAACGAGTATTATAACTGAGAAATTTGAAAGGGAAAAGAAAAAAAATTTGAACTCTACACCCCCTCCCCAGTCTTAATGGGGAGGCCTCCTGCTTTACTTCGGTGTTCGGGATGGGAACCGGTGCTATCAGGTACCTGGGGTTAATCCCGTCAGCGACTCTAAGCGTTCGCCGGGGGACCCAGTAGGACCCCAAAGCTCAGGCAGCTGGGTGAGAGCACCCAGTACGAAGCTCTTAGAGGGGCGGGACGTAGAGTGAGACGACAGAGAGACAGAGAGAGACTCAGACAGAGAAGAGGTTTGGTGGGAGCTTTTTGTTTTCGTAGGGTTGGTTGTGTACCCCATGGTACCCCCACTGTCCGGCGCTCCCGTACCGAACATACAGCGTTTTAGGCCAGCTTCAAAGGACTTATCATCGCCTCCCCGACGAATCAAGGAGGCACCACCCGCAACCACACACCGGATGGTCTGGATTGATGGATCAAATACTCCATCGCTCCAGTGCCGAGGCCAACCCGCCGAAGCGGATTGCTTTTTAGACACCCACAGCGGAGTGGCCAGGTGAATGTGACTCTGACCACTACGCTATCACGCTTGTACGTCTGGCAGCGTGTTGGACGACGGGTTTGAGTTGCAGTGCGAGGAAGGTAGTCGAAAAATGTAACGAAATGATGAGTTTCGATCCCCGGACCCCGCCACCGGGTTCACACGATTTTACGCTCTCGGCCACCACGGCCCATGATGAGGGGACCGGCGTGAGGTGGGTTCTTGACGCAATAGGACTCGACCGACCCGGCCAAAATTTCGCAAGAAGTTGGGGGAGTCGAACCGCCGACCCTGGCCTTGGGAACCGACGCCTCTACTCCCTGGACCACCACGTCCCATGCACGGAGGTGGCTCACGTTCACGGGTTTCAACCGCACTGGGTGAGGCAGTAAAATTAAATGGAAATATTTGTTAGGAGTCGAACCTCCGGCATGTGGGTCTGTTGCACACGGCTCCGCTCGGATGGCCTCGAACCACCACCCTTAGGATAGTAAGTCGAAAAAACGTATGTGACGCTGGTATTCGAACGCCGGCCTACGGTAACTCGATCCCACGTCTCTAACCTCTCGGCTATCACAGCAGTTGTGAAACGCGACGGATCATCTGCTTTCATTAACGTTCGTTGAATGAGATTTTTTTTGCAGCCCGGCCACGCTGCTGCCACTGCCACGCTGCCACGCTGCCGCGCTGCCACGCAGGGCGCGCAGAACTAATGACATGTGTCACAATGGCAAGGTTGGCAACGCGAATGGGAGAAGGAATGAACGGAGCAAACAGCGCGGAAACAAAACATGGAGGTATTGGTTGAGGCAGAAGTGCGGCTCTATTATTGACTGAGAACGAACGCCGGAGGAGGGGAGGGGAGGGGGGGGAGGGGAGGGGGGGGGGAGGGGAGGGGGGGGAGGGGTTGAACAACAACTCGGCGCAGCGCTCATACGCCACAATCAATCTCCTACTCCCCCTCCTCCCCCTCTGCTGTTGCTGTTGCTCGGATCCTTTAATTTTGCCCTCCAGAGCCCCTCCCTCTCCGACCACCCCCCGCCCTCTTCACAGGCGCGAGTGTTGAAACCAACGCGCTGACGGCGTGGCGCGGCGTGGCGCGGCGTGGTGCGGCGTTTCGCAGATTGTTTTGTGCTGCGGGGCCTCGTCGAGTCACCCCCGCGGCCCCGGGGCACCGTCCCGGCCGTCCCGGCCACGCCGACCGCCCCGCGCTCCGGGTCGCCTTTCTGAATGGCATATCGGCGGCCGATAACCGGGGACCTCTCGGAGCCCCGTCCGTGTATCAGGGTGGTGGTCACGGCGGCGAGGAGCGGCGGCAGGGGCCTGGAGCCAAGATTCGCGCGGATGAACAAAAGGAAAAGACGAAAACAAAAAAAAAGGGTCCCTCAGGGGATGCGCGCGCCTTCGGTATTCGAACCCACGTCAGGAGTTTTCGTTTGTTCTTTTGCTGAGCGTGCGTAGCCCCTCTCTGAAGGGGTCGGCGGGGTCCGAATACCGACTCCGCCCCCTGCATATGCAGAAACTGTCCCCGAAATGGCGAAATCACTGACGGTAAGCCTCATGCCATTACCGCTGCCAGGCCGGGGCCGGGGCCGCCAGGCGGGGCCACGGCCGCGCACGTCAGGGCTTTTGCTTTTTCATTTTCCACTTTCGCGGAATACCTCGCCGCTCCGAACGGCTGCGCGCTCCGCCACGCTCCGCCTCGCTCCGCCCCGCACGCCGCCGACATGAAGTATGTCCGCGCCGAGTGGGGCGGCCTGGCCGGCCTGGCTGGCTGGCATGTGAGCACGGAGAACGGGCAGGGCAGGACCGGGCCAGCCGCCCCCTTCCACTTGCCGGTATGAATTGTTTGCGGTCCATCCGTAGCGATCAGCGGCCTGGCGGGCGCAGCGGCCACATTCTGAAGTGACTCGTCGCTCTGTCTCTCTCGCTCTCGAGAGGCGGCACTCCGTACGAGGTGCGAGAGAGACGGAGAGACAAAAGCACTGTTCGGAATCAGTCTGCAGCACAGGGCGGCCCATACATTTTCATGTAGATGGCGCTCGAACCGCCCTTGTTGCCGCCGCCAACGCCACAACAGACGCCCCTCTCCCTCTCTCCCCGCCAACCCCTTCTCTTTCTCTCTCTCTCTCTCTCCCTCCCGCGGCCGCCCTCTGAAGGGCCCCGTAATTGGGACTAAATAACGAGGCGGGGGATCAAGTGGGCCGTGGCGGGGAATTGATGCAGGACCGGGCCTGGGCCAGGGCGAGGCCGGGGCCCGCTCGCCCCAATGCAGGACCGCGCCGTGCCGGGCCACGGCCATCGAAGAGACGCTGATTAAGAAGCAGCGCGCTCGCACAGCCCCACGCCAGCCCTACGCCAGGAATTTTGGCGTACAATGCCGCCAATAGCGCGCCGGCAACTGGGAAACTACTACCCGCTGCTCCACCTGGGGCCTGGCTGCCTGGCTGCCTGGCTGCTGGGGCCGCGGAGGCAAATAGTTGTCGAGCCGCGCCGCCGCGACGACGCCGCGCCGCCGGTTAAACTCGGCGCGAAACAGTTCGGCGTACTCGTTGGAGGAAGCGCGGAGGGCGGAGGGCGCCAGAGTCAGAGTCATGGGGCGGCAGGGCAGGGCGGGGCAGGGCGGGGCAGGGCAGCCAGGCCAGGCCAGACGGTCGCGGCCACTACCCCTCTCGCTTGGCTTGACTTGGCTTCAC